GAAGCAAGAGGCAGAGTGGATGCAGCTGCTCCTGCTCCCTAAGAACAAAACTATTGACTGTCCCTTACCTTGCACTGTGCCTATATTCCTAGCCTTCATTTCTTTAAGAGTGGCATTTTGCATGTGTTTTTCAAAATAAACTGGTTATTCTATCCGTGTGTGTGTGTGTGTGTGTGTGTGTGTGTGTGTGTGTGAACCTGCGAAGGATTAAATAGAGAGGAGAGGAAGTCCAAGGTCAGGACAAGGAGAGAGAGAAAGAGAGAAAAAGAGAGAGAGAGAGAGAGAGAGAGAGAGAGAGAGAGAGAGAGAAGAGAGAGAGAGAGAGAGAGAGAGAGAGAGATTCTTTGTCTATTTGCTGAGAATTCCAGCTTGGTTCCATCTCAATAAAGGATTTTATTGACCTATATTTCCACAAAAGCAGAAGATAATAAATTAATCCATAACATTCTGGATGTAGGGTGAGCCAGTAGTTTATGTGGTGAGAGGTGGTTTGATAAGCGGGCAGAAGTCAGCCCTCAGCATCTGAAGCAGTGGCTGAACAACTTTCCCTTCCTATTTACTGTCTCTCCCAAAAGAATTTTAAAGAATCCTGTGTTCCCTCTCTTCTTCATTAGTGCATGTAAATGATTGAGCACCCAAGTGAGCAGGTAGGAGAGGTATACAAGGAAAGGAAGATGAGGTGGTCATGTCATCAATTGCCTTTAGAAAATAAGATTGACTTTTTTTCAGAGAAATACAGGATATTAGAGGAAGAAACCTGAGAGATCATTTTACAGATGAGAAACCTGAGACTCCTACATAACTTGCCCAAGGTCATATAGTTAGTTATATCTTCAAACCACATCATCAAGGTAAACCACCAACAGATGTACAGCCTTGTTATTTCTTGGTATAATTTTCTGCCACTTCACACAAAGCGAAAGTCCACCAGTACCTTTTCTTTCCGAAAAGAACAAAGCAAACTGTCCAGGAAATAATGATAACTATTTTAATTATAGTCACAGATCAGCTGTTGCTCTCAAAGGAGGATCTATGGTAATTCATAGACCCACATCCCTAAGCTAATCTATTCCTAGACCAGAGGTTCTTAATTTGGGGTCTGTGAAATTGTGGTAGTGTTTTAAAGATATATTTTGATAATTATATTTCAATATAATTCATTTCCTTTGTAATACTATGTACTTTATTTTATTTATTTAAAAACATTATTCTGAGAAGTGACCCACAGTTCTACCAGACTGTCAAAGTGGGCCATAACACACACAAAAAAAAGATTAAGAACTCCTGTACTAAAGCATCATGGATCCCACTAAGTGAACGGCTATATTTTTTCCAGACAGCCAATTAGAGAACCACTGGGGTATAGTACATAGTGATTTGGAATCAGAAAGACCCTGGGTTCAAATTCTGTTCTTCTGAGTCTCAATTTTCTCACTTGTAAAAAGGAGACAATAATACCTCTAATACCCACACAGAAGCTTCTGTTGAGGCTCATTTAACCGTATGTAAAGTAGTTGACCAATTTTAATCAGTTATTATTAACTATGAGCAGAAGAGAATAAGGGGTCAGATAGCTTGTTTCCTGCTCCTAGTCTATGGTAACTGAAGTTCAGCAATGTAAAGCCAAGCCTCCCATGTGGATGGTGACCTTTAGCAAGTAACCTCTAATGGAGTGAATGGTGAAGGAATGAAGGGAGAGAAAAGAGACATACAAGAAATGGTCCAAGAATAGATCAAAGGATTTAGGGCTAGAAGGATACTTAGAGAACAACTACTCCAGTCCCCTCATTTTACAAATGAAGAAGCTAGGGGCCAGAGAAGGGAAATGACTTGCCCTAGGTCACATAGCTAGTACAGAGCACAGTCGAGATTCAAACCCAAGTATTTGGACCCAAAATCGACTAATTTTTCCATTAGCTGTTTGGTATCAGAAGGCTCCTAAGGACAGACAGTGTAACAGTGTCCTATTCCTCCCATGATGGCTAAAGGGAACTGGAGGTGACTGGGTGGGGCAGGTAAATGCTGGAGGTATACTTGTTTCTGCTACCAATTGTATATCCAATTTTCAGACAAAAAAATCAGCTGCTATTCATGTCCATCTGGAATTATAAACTATTCGAGCTAGAAGAGATCTTATGATCTATTCTAACTCCTCGCTATACAGCTAAAGAATCAGGCTCAGACGGGTGAAATGATTGGCCAAAACCAAGACTGGAACCCAGCTCTCTTTAATTTTCCCTATTCTTATTAGTTCCCCATTCCAATCATGCTTTTAGAGAAGCAATTAATTCTCATCTCCCTTTGGGAAATACTACTATCAAGTATGCTGAGAAATACATAAGAGCTTGCCCTGACCAACCTCCCTCCCCTCCCAACCTGTTCCACCCCCGACTCTGAGGGACACTGACAAGGGAAAGAGCCTGACCCATCCCAACTAGATTCATCCATCAATGATGTCTGCAAAGCACCCTCATGGAAAATACAGGATTAACATACAGGATTCGTTAGGTAAAAGCAATGAGTGGGCATTTCAGGATCACGGTGTGCAAAGAGAAGGGATGGTAGCTTTAGTAAGCTCCCTCTGTGAAAGCTGAAAGCTGCTTAGGCCACAGTGTCTGAGGGCTCCAAAGGGTTATTAATTTCCTTCATTGGGTGCTAGCTAAGAACTCCGTAAATAAAAGCATAACCCTGTAACACCAAGAAAGCTGTGGACAGAAGATCAAAAACAGTTGCTTTCTTTGACTTTACCTTAGCAAGTAAAAAGTCCAACCCTTCAGAAGCAATCTGTTCTGGATCAAGCCAGATGCCCTCACTGAATACCTAAGGCTGTAATCATCTTAACCCACTACAGGCAGATGCCCACGATAAAGTGCTAGTGTCTGCAATAAAGCCTGTTTTGTGACCCCCAAAAGCTGGTGAAGAAAGAAAGGATCACTTGGAGGTCAGTTAATTAAAGACAACTTAGAAGTTATAATAGAATTCCTTAGGAGGGACATGCATACACACACACACATATCCTATAAATCACAATTTCATACATTCTTACTACTGACACACACACAAAAAAGAACAATCCAGGAAAACACTATTCACATAATCTCATTTGGAAGTCTTTTTGCCCTACACATTCCTTCCTTCTCTTCACCAGCTTTAAAACAAGAACAAAAACATAAAATTAGATAAGAAACCCATACCTAGCCTCACATGCCATTTGCCATATGGGCCTTAACAAAACCATATTCCCTGGTATCTGGATAGAGTGTTCTACCCTATATCCCAGACAGCTGAGGGTCTTTCTTGCATATTTCTAATCCAATCTAACCTCAAAGTGTCTTTGACAGGTCATGTTGAGTGAGTGCCAGACTGAGAAAAGGCTGACATTTCTAAAAGAAAACCACGAGACCCATAATTCACTAAAACAACAATGTGAGATTATGGCCTAAAATTGTATATGGCCCCAAAACAGTATCTCTCTACTTAAAACATGTTGCAAACCAATAACATCTTCTCTACCAAAGATGATCGTGCCGATGAAGCTGCAATGAGTGCTATGCTGAGGGCGAGTTGTTATTGTCGTGGCAGTTTGTCCTTTGCTCTTGAAGAGGGTCATGACATCACGGAGGTGATGCCATGAGATGCAAAGGATTGGATTTGAGTGAGGGAGGCCTGTGCAAAGTCACCAGCCTCACTCTCTCCTCTGAAGCCATCTGGCTCCAGTGGCCAGATACAGATTAGGACAACAGGAGATGGCCCCAGATGCAGTGGGTAAGAGGTGTGAGACTAAATGAAGACAGTTTTCTTAAGTTTACAGGTTTTAAGAAGAAAGGACTTTTGGTAGTAAAAGTTTTAAAAATGAGTAAAAAATTGGCTATACCAATCACTGGGAATCACTACTCTAGAGCTTTCTCATTCATATATGGCCTATCATTCCAATCCTTTCTGGCCCAGCATTCCACAACAGGCTTTTCTCTAATCTAAATACAGTCTTTAACTTCAAAAAGTGGCTGGGCAGCTGCCCTGCTCAAAACTAGCAATGCTGGCTTCCAAGAGCCCTGAGCAAGAACGATATGCTCAGAGTTAAAGGTCTCATCTCAGACTTGGCTTTCTCTAGGGTGAGTCCCATTACACTGATTTTTCAATCCTTATGATAGTCAGGGAAATGGTAACTGAGATGGGGAATTTTTTTCTGCCCCTTTTCTTCTTATTTCCTCCCTCTCCCTCCAGTCACAGGGGGTTTCCTTCAGCCATGAAATCACCTCCGAAAAAACCCCCCAAATTGGTGCTATTCAACAGGGTAATAGGGGAGAGCTATTTTTATACTTTAAGCACTCATGCCTTAACATGTTAAAAAGAGAGGGGGAAAGAAAACAGATAATGATAAAGACCTTATGCACCTTTGCTGCTCTTTGCTAACTCCAAATGGTCAATCCACTATGGGGCCATGGGAACTAGTCATTGGACCAATATCTTGAGGGCTTCCCAAGTAACTTTTGGATTATTGACCCAGGAAGTATATTTGATCTTAATCAAACTCCTGATCTTCAGGGAAACCTCTTTAGCCTGGCACTCACCCAACCTGATCTGATTCAGAAATGCTTTGAGGTTGGATTACATTGGAAATATGCAAGAAAGACCCTCAGCTGTCTAGAACATAGGGTAGAGCACTGGTAGAGATAGTTTTATCAAGGACCATTTGGCAAATGGCTTTTGAAGCAAGACATGGGTTTGCTTTTCTTCCTCCTGGGAGCATTAACGTAGCTAAACACTAACGACCTAAGTCTATCATCATCTTCTGCAGTACAGTTCTTATGGTGAAGGGGAAGACAAAGACCTCACAACTAGACCTATGTAGTTTTTGGCCCACAGTACAAGAAATCATAACTTTGGAAATGGAGAGGGGTAGCATGAAACCACATTCCCTCCACCTCTCAGGATGCAGAATCTTTTTTGGATAGGAAGTTAATCTAATCAGTTAACTTGACTGGGGAGGAAAGATAATTTTGTTTTTAAAGAACTAAAGTATAGTAATGAAAAAATCTAGCACTTGTGGATCTGAGAGGTGCAGACTAATCTTATGGGAATGTTTAGGAATCTGTAGCACTTAAATGCTAACATGCCTATTCTTGAAGGTCTATACAAAAAAAGAAGTTTTAAATTAATTAAATTCAACAGGCATTTAATAAGGACCTACTACATGCTGGGCACTTTATTAGGTGCTGGTGATATAAAGACAAAAATAAGAACAAAACCACTTGTGCAATTGAAAGCAAGTTTGTCCCAAAGTGAAAAGGATATGGATTTCCTAAATTTAGGGAAAACTGGCAATTTCTGAACAATAGCTCTATCCTGGAGTGGTTTTCATCTAAATTTAGTCTTAACTGAGTCATTCGCCCACATCACTCATCATCCATAGTGCAGGTGGGAAAAAAAATCACTACAAATATGAGCAGGAAGGAAGAAAACAGATAATCAAGGATGTGTTTCATCTCAAAGAGAGTGAGATTAGGAGACCACAGTGGAAGTGAAAGCTGAGGAGGTGGGAAGTGAACTTTAGGGTTTCCCCTAACCACCTATATTCACCTACAAATCTGTCACTTGTAAAAAGAACAAGGCCAGGAGATGCTCTCCACAGATGGGTGAAGACAGGCTCTTAACATTGTCCTTATCCATCTATAAAATATAGTCAGGCAGATTACACTGATAAAAAAAACCAATAATATCAACATCTAGACTTTGGGTAGCACTTTGCAGCCAGAAGATACTCACTATAGAACCTTGTTGGGGGGTGAGGGAGTGGGGGAGGACTATCTTTTGTTTTTCATTTTACTCTGATTCTGCTACTGGAATCTGCAGTGGGTGATTCAGCACATGGGCAGAAGACACTTCCACTGGAAACATATCAACATTCAACATTTAGCTTATTTAAGATAATGAGGAAAAAACAGGGACATAAAGAAGAGCTGAACACAGCATGTCAATGCAACTCCACACAAATATTTTTAATGATGCTTTGTCCTATCACAACTCCGCGGACTTTAGGAATTTTAGGTTTAATAAAATGCAATAACATAGGATCATAAATCTCAAGTTGGTATAGACCTCATGGGCCATCTATTTCCAACTCCTCATTTTACAGATGAGGAAACTGAAGCCCAAGGGAGGTTGCGTGACTTGCCCAAGTCACATAGGTAGCAGGTGTCAGAGGTAAAATTTGAGCCAGGTCCTCTGATAAGTACAAAACCATGAGTTTCATAAGTCTATTTAGAGATTTGATTTCAAACAATTCCTCAACAACATTGAAAAATATAAACTAAAGATACTTTAAACTACGTTTTCTGTCAGTAAGTGATCAACATATGCATGCCTGGAGTGAAACTGGGTCTAACCTTGCTCCGTTGAATGTTTCTAACTAAAGATTGTATCTCAGGTTCAAAAAATACGTATGTCTCTTGTTTCTGATACAAAATTCTACACTAGCTTTAATAAATAAATAATAAAATGTTTCTTAAAAGTATGAAATGTAAACTTTGTTGTTCTTCCAACATAGTACAATTTTTTAATTGCTTGAAACACAATAGTGCCCTTACAGGAAATTACACTACAATGTACAGAGTCTACACCACATTATATCTATCACTTAAAAAGATTTCTCCACAATCCTAATGTACATCTAGGAGACCCATATCAGAAAGAACACCACTGAATATAGGAAAGAGACAAGTCACTACCAGAGAGAACATGCAAGACCCACACAGCCTGCAGAGATCAGGGTTTACATGAACTCTAACTAACCAACATGCGAACAAAAATAGCCCACCCCTTTCAACTAGCAAACCAAGTTATTGCCTAAATACCAACTTAGTGCTGGCATTTAAGCAAAAGAGCAAAGAACTCAACAGAATAATTCTTCAGCTTCACAACTTAGCACTCAGGCTTTATTCTGGGAACATATCACCTTCCATCATTGGGAGTTGAGTCTCTACACCAAGTGCAGGATAGAAAATCTCTATGGATCTGCTTTCCTCTCAACATGTGGAACAGGTATGCCTGTGATTCGTCTCACCTAAGAACAGGATGGGTATTCTCCACTTTGTTCTACTCCACTCTTTCCCTTTGGCCACATTTCCCTTTCAGACCTTAGGAAAGGTGCCTGGCAATCCACACAGGTTTCTTGGTAAGGACACCAAAAACAGCTGCTCTGATTTTTCATCACATTCAAAGTCAGACACATTCAAACACAAAACAGGCTTATGACTGGTCATCAGTAGATTGCCTTTGTCATGAAATAAATGCTACAATATCTCTGGGTCAGTTTGGGTCTTTTTTCCAGCACTGCTGGCCATTACAGTACAATCAGTGTTCACACAAGTAGGGTTTCAACAAACCTACTACAGTAGCCGGGAGTGGTTTTGTTAAATTTATAGTGAGACTCATGGAAAAGACCACTTTCAAACATACATACAAAATCTCTCTCCCCAACTGCTTGACAGCTGAATAAGCTATTTTTAACTATTAATTTCCGTTACGTCTATTACCCTCAAACCACGCTACTAAGGAAACAACAGCAGGATTCATTTGCTCAACCAGCTCTTAAAGGCCCAGTTCTGTGGCATATTCAGAAGACCATCTATGCCTAAGATCCCACATCAGCATTCCAAAAGAGAACTGTGCAGACCTTATCCTGAAGTGAATGGAAATCTCATGCCCCTAGAATGTATCCACTCATAGTTTGTCTCTAAACCAGCGATAAGGGACTGAAATCATTGTCAAAGAGCCTATGTGGGGACTACGAGGAGGCAGACATCAGAAGAGTTACATAAAGTCTTCAAAAATAGAGATGTTGCACTATTGAATCAACTATACAGTAAAGAAAATGGGTGTAGCCAACCACAGGACAAGTCAGACTTTTGAACAGGAATCGGTTTTGGCTCTAGCTATAGGATTTCAGAAACCCTAGAAACTAGAGCAAAAGCCTACATGTGAAAACACAGATTTGCCTCACAGATTAGGATTGGTCATTTTGGGAAGGATTGTCAAAAGGTGATCTTGGGAGCTCAGGGAGCCCCTCACCCCTAATTTAACCCCATTGCTTTATAGATGAATGAATCACTGTGCTACTTAGAAAAATAATACCAAATTCCAGATAATTTCTGCAGGGCCCTGGTGCCAGGACGAGAAGGCTATGGTGGGGCCCTTGTCCCACTATGGTTCATCAAAGAGCTGCAGATCCAGTCGGACAACAATCTCCCCTGTTGGAACTTCATGTAGAAGGAGGCATTTGGTAACTGGCCCCTTTGAACCCTGGTCTTTCTTGATGTCTGCCACACGGATTTCTGTCCGACCCAAAAAATCTAAAATAAAAAAAGCAAAAAAAAAAGTGAGAGAACTTATCACTATTTGCCAATGTCAATATGTGACCAAAAAAAAATCTCCCTGATTTTATTTTCCTTAATACTTTAGAATTTTGCTGGGTTTTATTTTTTACCCTTCCTGGTGCAATGGAGAAAACTCCAGACTGGGAGTGAGGAGTCTGGAATTCTAGTCCTTCTTCCACCATATCTAGCTATGTGATCTTAACCGAGTCATTTAACTTCTCCACGCCTTAATTTCCTCATTCATAAAATGAATATATTATCACTGGCACTCTTTGCTTCCCAGAGTCATTGAAAGTAAATGAGGTAATAGGTGGTGTGAAGGTGTTTTGAAAGTGGGAGAGACTATTCAAAAGAACAATCATTTAATAAGGCCTAATAAGTGCCAGGCACTGTGTTCAGTGATTTATAAATATTAAAATTATCTGATTTGATCCTCATAACAACTCTGTGAGGTAGCTGTTATTATCATCCCTATTTTACAGTTGAGAAAACTGAGGTAGACAGAGGTTAAATGACTTGCCAAGGGTTATAAAGTTAGTAAGTGTCTGAGGCTGGATTTGAATTCAGGTCTTCCTGACTTCAGGCCCAGCTTTCTAAATACTATGCCACTCAGACCTTAGACATTCAGTTCAAATGGGTCTCCACTATAAGAAATACTCTTTCAAATCTCCTTAGTAAGAGCTGGGAATCTGTCAATTGGATAGGGAGGGAGTATTTCTCCCCAGATGTGAATCACAGAGGCAAGCCTTTGTTATAAGCATTACACTAGAAAGGCACACTTGTATGCCAATAAGAATGGTAATGAGATTATGCTTTTTCATGGACTCTTAGCTGCAACTTCCAGCTCCACCAGATGGCATAAGAATTTGACAACCTTCACTCTGAGGAGTCTGTGAGTGTAAAAGAGGAGCCTTTTGCCAGGATAACATCATAGTATTATCAAACAGGGAGACAGCTTCAGAGTCCAACAAGATGGTGGACTAGACATTCTCTCTGATCCTTATGACCTCTCAAAGCTTTCCAAAATAGAAATTATGTGCCAAAGGTAAGGCAACTTCAACTATCTCCATGATATAAACCCAAAAGAAAGTTTTTGTTTTTTGGCAATCGGGGTCAGGTGACTTGCCCAGGGTCACACAGCTAGTAAGTGTCAAGTATTTGGTCTGAGGTCGGATTTGAACTCAGGTCCTCCGGACTTCAGGGCCAGTGCTCTATCCACCGCACCACCTAGCTACGCCTCCAAAAGAAGGTTTTTAAAGCTTCATAAATTGATGCCTACACTGACCTTTCCCACCACCAACCATGCTACTGACAGCAAGACTGCTCTAGCCAATGGGATCTATGAGCTTGCAACAAAACACAACCCCACATCGCAGACCTCCCCTCCCTCTTTCCTAGTGCTATGGAGATCTGGGCTCCAAGCTGCAGAAGTTTACTGGGGCATCACTGGCAAGCAATGTGGCAGCATTCTGTGTTACAAAAGATTTCTCCAAGAGAGAGGAGGAATAGAGGGAAAGGATCAGGACACCTATCTGGGCTCAACCTCATACCCTCCCCACTCCACCTCTCAGGGCCTTAGAAATCCAAACTTCAAATGACATAAACCATCCCTGGATGCAGTGTCACCCCCCTGAACTTCTAGGCCAGAGAACTGAGGAACAGAGGGAATGAGACAGGACACCATTGTGGGGTAGAAGGTTAGCTGTGTAGCATTCCACTAACCTTGAGCGAAAGAGCCCAGCATCAAGCTGGGGCCAGTTCTGTCTACCCAAAAGTCACTTGGGGCAGAGACCTAGGCTGGTGGACTGTGAGTTGCCCAGCATGGAAGGAGGCTGAAATGCTTTGAGATACAGCCCCCTAGGAAACCACTGTCACAGGGGAGGGAACCAGGAAGTGAGCAATTGGGAGAAAAAAGACTGAAATTACCAAAGATCTCAGGGGAGAAGAAAACTCAAACAAAACCTTGAACATAAGGAGATAAATCAACAGAGAAAACATTAACAGCAGAAGGAAATATGACCTTCACATCTAGTAAATGAGTTGAAGCATCTATGAAAAATACTACAAAATAAAGGAAAATAGAAAATAAACATTTGATGAAACAGAGGACCCTGTGTAATTTGAGAAGATTATGGAACTACAACATACTGCTACTGTATGGTTTAAAAGAGAAATGAGAATTATGAGAGTAGAATTTATGTACTATATAGGAAAAATAATAGGCAGAAGAAAAAACTTAAATCTGTGATAACAAATATCAGCAAAGGAACAAAACAAAGAACATAATTGGGAATACAGAAGTGAAGGACACTCTCAAGAGAAGCAAAAAACAATAATATTAAAAGAAAATATGTTCTCTAACCAAGCAAAGCATACTGATCTCAAAGACAGGATATGTAGACATGATCTATGGATTATAGGTCTCCCAGAAGAAAAAAATCTGAACCATAATGCAAGAAATAATACTTTTCTGCCCAGAACTTCTAAATACAGAAAATGAAATGACTATTAAAAGAATTTCTAAATCACCTCCAGAAAAATACAAAAACTCAATTTCTAAGACACATAGTGGTTAAATTTAACAATTTATTTCAGAAACAAGTTTTACAAGTGACCAGGAGAAGGACCTTCATATACAAAAGAAAGGACATTTGAGTACCACAAGACTATTCTGCACCCACTGGAAAATGCAGGAGGGAATGGAACAAGGTATTCCAAAGAGCAATGGAGCTCAGGTTATAGTCCAGGGTAACTTACCCTGCAAATATGAACTTAAACATAAATGAAAAATAAAAAGGACATTTAATAATATAAAGATGTTTGAAACATCCTTAGAAAGAAAACCAGACCTGAAGATATTACTTGTTTCTTGAACACCCCAGGCAACAGAACTTCAAGAGTGGTGAACAAACATAGTAGCCAAAGATAGCAATAGCAACAGAGTGACAGTAGAAACTAGTAAGAGACTTCCTTCTAAATATGCACAAGGAGTCAGGGATGAAGCAGAAATCTGGTGGAAGTAAGAGTGAAGAGGCCAGCTCAGGACATCATAGACGAAAACTTGCAATACTTACAGGTGAATCAATATTTTGTGCAAGACTACATTATAAAAGGGGAGGGTGCATGAAAGGGGAAGGGTAGCAGTGGCGAGAGGAGGGACTGTGTAATATGATTAAGTCAAATTGAAGGCTAGCAATGAGAGGATGGTGACCTCTGTGGTCTCTCAGGCAGAGAAGAGCCTTCAGGGGAATGGGTGACAAGGAATGGAGAAGGATTGGAAGGAAGGAAAAAGAGGATGACTTTGTTTTGGTAGTAGGAGGGGATTCCACTGATTAATACTTCTAAGGGTGAAGAGATGTTCTGTGAAAGAAGATGTAGACCTTGTTCTGGGCATTGTCTGAGATATTTGATGTGAAGGTAGCTAGCTACCCTCTCTGTGCCAGGATTCACAGTGCCCCCATCTAGCTGACTTTGTAGGCCCGTGGGGATCAGAGACAAGAAGAGGGCTCATGGATCCAACCCTTCATTTCACAGATGAAGAAACGTAGGCTCACAAAAAGGAAGCAACTTACCTAAAGTCACAAAACTAGCAGAGTGAAGAAGAAGAAGAGGAGGAGGAGGAGGAGGAAGAAGAACAGGAGGAAGAAGAAGAGGAGGAGGAGAAGGAGGAAGAAGAGGAAGAGGAAGAAGAGGAAGAAGAAGAGGAGGAGGAAGAAGAGGAGGAAGAAGAGGAAGAGGAAGAGGAAGAAGAGGAAGAAGAAGAGGAGGAGGAAGAAGAGGAAGAAGAAGGAAGAGGAAGAGGAGAAGAAGAGGAAGAAGAAGAGGAAGAAGAAGAGGAAGAGGAAGAAGAGGAAGAAGTAGGAAGAAAAAGAAGGAAGAAGAAGGAAGAGGAGGAGGAGAAGAAGGGAAAGAAGAGGAAGAGGAAGAGGAAGAAGAGGAAGAAGAAGAAGAAGAAGAGGAGAAGAAGAGGAAGAGGAAGAAGAGGAAGAAGAAGGAAGAAGAAAAAGAAGGAAGAAGAAGGAAGAAGAAGAGGAAGAAGAAGAGGAAGAAGAAGAAGAGGAAGAGGAAGAAGAAGAAGAGGAGGAAGAAGAAGAAGAAGACTTTGAGGGCTGGGGGGCAGGGGGAGGGAAGTGGTGTCCTATCATGGGGCAGGAATTACCATTGTTCTGTCACTTACACAAACTAGCATTGTTTTGAGAGTGAGGAAATGTATATTTCACCATGGAAATGCAGCAGAAACTGCCTAGAGTTGCGAATGGATACCTCTGAAGTTTCAATTCTATGAGCAATAGAGAAAATAGAGGCTAGATAATTATAGGGGTCAAGAACTAGAGAATGAGGATCTAGAGTACACAGCACTGGAAAATATACAATGAAGAGAATGAGAGAAATCATCTCTGGAAAGAGATGCCAAAAAAAAAAAAAGAAATTTTTTAAAAGTAATGAGCAGGGCTAGTTAAAGGGAAGGAGAGGAAGGGGGATCTATTAGACTAAGAAGGGAAAAAAGTAGGAACAAATTAAATAACCAAATAAAAGCAGGGGGGAAATTAATTAATAAGCAAAACTCTAAAGGGAAAGGTGTAATAAATAAATGGAAAGGAGGATAAGGGCAAGAGGAAGAGAGTCGGTGGGAATAGGGCCACCTTAGAAAAGATTAAGAAAAGAAAAAACCCAATGTTAGAGACAAATGGAGGAAAATATAAACCTTACTCTTGTAACTTTAAATGTAAATGGATTAAAAAATCTAATAAAAATCACGACAGATTGGATAAGAAAACAAAACCCTACAATCTGTTGCTTGCAAGAAACACATTTTAAAAACAGACATACACAAAATAAAACCTGGGGGATGCAAAAAAATTTTTGCCATGCATCAAGTGAATACAAAAAAACCCAGGAGTTAAACTCATCATCAACCCAGGATCAGTCCTTTGTGTGGATCTAGTTCCATTTTCAAAACACAATGCAGAACTACAACCTCAATCAGAACCTAGAAATACCTCTTCACGAGAAGAAATTGCCCAATCGGCTTTTTTTGTGCACACTAAGAAGAGTAGGAAGATACGTCCTAATTTGAAGTATAGAGGAGCTGGCTCACTTCTCACATTTACCCAATGATCTTTGGACTTCTTTTTACAGAATGCATACAGTTTCATAAGTCTTCACTGCCCAATCTCCCAACCTTATCAGCTACCAGCAAGAGGAAGAAAGCTCATCATCAGGGCCTAAAAGAATACAACAGCGCAATCATCTAAGTTGGTAAGCCATCTTGGTTGGCTGAGGTATTGAGATTCTAGATTGCCACCTGGAATTCCTACTGCCAAATGCTTTACCTCTACAGCCCTGACTCTAAAGTACAATGGACATTCTTATATAGTTGGTACTCAAGAAATATTTGTGGAATGAATGAATGCGTTAGTTGGGTGCCAAGTAGGTATTCTTTTTGAGAAGCTCCACATTAGACAATTTCTTCATGTGTGCCATCTTCACCTTTGGTCATCCCTTCTCTCAAAAATAAAATCTAAGATGTTTTAAGGTCTGAGTACTCCAAGGTAAAGTTAAGTTTTTTGGAAGTGGAAGCAGGATGTCAAGGAGAGAAGGCACTTCTAACAGTTTGAATGCCGATTTATACTCACCATCGGGAGAGAACTGGTCCCTCTCAAACACAGTTATGCAGAGGACATCCTGCTCTAGGTCCTTGATGAAGAACTGGCAGTTGGAATTCCACTTGGGGTTCAGCGTGTCCTGTATTGTCTTTGTAATATGACACTGGGAGCCCATTGTCACCTCACAATAGGGATTACTTTTACCTGGATTGAATAAAATAAGTGACTAGCTCATTTCTGTTTTACCTGTGCAGTTTTATAGGTGAACATAGCCATAGTTGCAGCAATATTATTCTTCCCATCCTCAAACCTAACCCTCTGCCCCAATATCATCTTAATGAATTAAATCAATAAATAAACTAAAATAGTAACTCCCTGACACGATGTCAGGAAGCAAATGAGAGCCAAAAGGTTGATCCACTAAGTAAAGAATCTACTAGACTATTTTAAGCTCTAGCCCTGCATGGTATGTTACCACCAGGATATCTCAACAGAAGCATGAATTCAACATGTCCAAAACCAAACTCATCAAACTAGCTCTTCTTCAAAACTTAACTATTACTGTGTATGGCCCCTCATTCTTTCTAGTGAGGCAGGTTCATGCCCTCAGAGTCCTTTTGGACTTCCCTCTTATTTATACCCCACACCTGGTCAGTCAACAAGCATTGATTAAGCACTTACTGAGTGCCAGGGACTGTGCTAAGTGCTAGAGAAACAAGCACCAAGAAAGAAACAGTCCCTACACTCAACCGTCCAGTCCCATTGATTCTACCTTGCATCTGTCTCCTCTTGACTCCTATGGCCGCCACTCCCTTTCTGACTCATCACCCATCATCTAGAGTATTGTAATAGCCTCCTAATTGGCTTAATGCCTCCATTCTCTCTCTTCTCCAAATCCATCCTTCACATATAGCAAAAGAATCTTCCTAAGGCTCAGGTCTTACAATGCCATTCACTTCCCCTCTAAATATTCTGCCATTTCCCATCATCCTTAGAATAAATTATAAAACCCTTACCTTTGCACTCAAAGTTCTTCTCAATCTGGCACCTATTTCCCTTTCCAGCCTTAGTTCATAGTACTCTTCTTCACACACTCTTAGCCAAATAGAAGGATTTGCTCTTCCCTGAACTAAACATTCCCTCTCTCCTCTAGGCATTTGTATAAACTGTCCCACAGGCTTGGAATGTGCTCCCTCCTCACTTCTGCCTTTCAGTCAACCAGTCAGTCAATAAGCATTGGTTAAGCACAATACTAAGTCCTGGGGATACAAAGAAAGGAAAGACAATCCCTGTTCTTAAGACCCTCACTTCTAATGAGGGAAACAACACGTAAGTAATTATGTACAAACAAAATTTGAACAGCATAAATAGGAAGTAATCAACAGAGGGAAGGGACTAGCATTAGCAGGGATCAGGAAAGGCTTCATGTAAAAGGTAGGATTTTAGCTGAGATCTGACAGAAGCCAGGCAAGCTAGAGGGGAGAACATTTCTGGGATGGGGGACAGCCAGTAAAAACACTTCTTCAAAACCTCAGCTCAGGCACCACTTTCCACATATAACCTTCCCCGATTCCCCTCAACAGTTAGAGTTTTCTTCTTCTACAAATTATCTTTTTCTCCAACTTATCTACATATATGATATGCCCCCCCCAACAGAATGGAGCAAATGCCTTGCAGTTGGAGACTAGGTTGTTTTTATCTCTGATTACCATCACCCAGCACAGTGCCATCTACTTAGTAAATGTATGACAGGTAGAATTGAAATGTACTTTTAAAATATCCATCTACTTTTCTTCAGACTTTGACATTTGTAATTATTTGGGGCTATATACTTCCTTGACTATTACTACCTTTTAGATATCTTACTTACATATAAGACGGTGGCCAGGAAAAAAGTTCTGGACATTTTATGAGTATTGGAAAGTAAAATGAGGTTCTGATATAACAACTGCTAAAGGGGAGAAAAAAATAAAAAGATATCCTTACCATGTGACCAACAGGGCTTTAATTCAATGCCTTCAACAATGTTCACCATCAACCTCCCGATACCTGTTGCCCTTTGGGAACGAACTGTGATGGAGTGTGAAAAGGATGCTAAGTATTACAATTTAACATTTTGATATCCTGCTTTCCCACCTCCATCTCCCTCATATTTCTTTCCCTTCTTTAGCCCATAAAATAATAGTTTCCTATTTCCCACTAAAAAGAACAATGAGACATATTTTTGTTTTCAGAATGAACCCTCCACTCCTTATCCCATACTCAACTTCCCCTTAGCATCCACCCCACCTTTTGCTACCCATTGCAACTCCTGGCAGTTATCTTCTAGTCCTGAGGATCCTGGTTTGAACCAGGATGGACCCCTGGAACTGATTCTAAAAAAAATTGCCCATGATGCTGTATATTACCTACCTAAGTATGCCTTTTCCCTCTTCTTTTTCTCAGTTTCAATGTAGAATTCAGAAGCAGCTTTAATTTTCTGTACCCAGGCAGTTCTTAGAAAGGAGAAGAGAGAAAGTTGCTAAATATAACTCAGTCTGAGGATCTCAGTGCCCAGCACAGTGTTGGTACATACAACAATAAATATTTGTTGAATGAATGAACGATGGCTGAAAGTCATTCAACAGCACTCATTAAGAGATTATATGTGCTATAAAACTTGTGCTAAATTCCAGGAACCCTCAAAAAAGGCAAAACTAGTCCATGTCTTCAAGGAGTTCACGTTCTAATTGGAGGAGATAAGCATAAAAATAATTAGGTACATATAAGGTAAACAGAGAATAGACAAAAGATTATCTCAAAGGGGAAACAAAGTGAAGAAACTGAGAAAGGTCTCCTGAAGATGAAACTTGAGCTAAGTCCTGAAGGAAGCCAGGGAGACTAAGAGGTTAAAGATGAAGATAGAGTATATTCCAGGCAAGGGAGAAAGCCAACACAAAGACTTGGAGATAGGAGATGGAGTATCATGGGTGAGGAACAGCAGATAGGCCAGTGTGGCTGGATTATATGATGTCAGACTGAGGCCTGGGAAAGACCTTAATTTAGAAAGGCCAAGCTCTTCCACTGCAGCCTGGTTCATCACCAGTCATCCTGACCTATGTCTTGCCACTGGACTGTGATGACTTAGGAGGATAGAGTGAGGCTGATGACTTTGCACGGCCCTACCTCCCTTAAATCCAATTCACTCACAAGTCAAGACATCACCCCATGATGTCACTGGTTCTCTTCAAGATCAAAGGACAAACAGCAACACTGTAGAGTGTATGCAGAGAGTACAGTGTAAGAAGGCTAGAAAGGTAGGTAGGGACCAGACTGTGAAGAGGTTTAAAAGTCAAGCAGAGGACTTTATATTTCATAATGGAAGTAAAAGGAAGTCACTGGAATTTATTGACTGAGGACAGGGGGTTGGAAATCAGACTTATGCTTTAGGAAAATTACTTTGGCAGCTCAGTAAAGGATAAATTTGAGAGGGAAGAGAAATGAGGCAGCAAGTCCATTTAGAAAACTACTGCAATATTCTAAGAGAGAGGTAATGAAGGCATGAACTAAGGTGGTAGCTATGTGAGTGGAGAGGAGACAAGTATGAGAGATGTTGTGAAGGCAGAAATAGAAAGATTTGATAAAAGGTAAAAGATTTTTTTAAAATTTTATTAATTTATTTTGATTTATCAACAATCACTTCCATATGCTTTTGAGTTGAAAATTTTTCTCCCCCTTCCTCCCCACCACCCTCCCCAAGATGGTGCACAATCTGATATAGGCTTTACATTTACATACCCATTAAACATATTTTCACATTAGTGAAGTTGTAAGTAAAAATTAAAACCAATAGGAGGAACTATCAGAAAGATGAAACAAAACTCAACAAAAGGTAAAAATAAGTGATAGCAATTCGACTTCCATAGTTCTTTCTTTGGATGTGGACAGCATTTTCCATTCCGAGGCCTCTGGAGATGTCTTAGATCCTTGTAATGCTGAGAAGGGTTCAGTTTAACAATATTAGTCATTGCATAACGTGGCTGTTATTGTGTACAAAGTCCTCTTGGTTCTGCTCACTTCACTCAGCATCAGACCATATAAGTCTTCCCAGGTTTTTCTGAAGTCAGCCTATTCATCAATTCTTACAGCACATTAGTATTCCATTACATTCATATACCACAACTTGCTCAGCCATTCCCCAGTTGATGGGCATCTTCTCAATTTCCAATTCTTTGCCACCACAAAAAGAGCTGCTATGAATATTTCTGTACATGTGGGTCCTTTTCCCATTTGTTTGATCTCTTTGGGATATAGCCCTAGAAGTGCTATTGCTGGATCAAAGGGTATGCACATTTTTGTAGCCCCTTGGGCATAGTTCCAAACTGTTCTCCAAAATGGTTGGATCATTTCACAACTCCACCAACAATGTATTAGTGTTCCAATTTTCCCACATCTTCTCCAACATTTATCATTTTCCTGTTTTGTCATGTTGGCCAATCTGATAGGTGTGATGTGGTAAAAGGTAAAAGATTTGAAAAAAAGATTCTATATATAGGATGAGTGAGAGAAACTGAATGTGACTTCAAGATTGTGAGCCTGAATGACTCTGAGGATGGTGTTGCCCTTATCAATAATAAGGAAGTTTTGAAGAGAGGAGGATTTTTTTGGAAAGATACTGAGTTCTGTTTTGGACATGCTGAGATTAAGGCAATTATGTGACATCGAGTTTTAGAAGTCTAAATTGGTGGTATGGAACTGGGATTCAGGAGGGAGATTAGGATTGTATATATGGGGATAGGGAGTGGACTCAGGAGTTCGTTGGGTGATGATCATGCTAGTTAGCACAACATCTGCAACTTACAGTTTGTAGAAAATTGACTAGGACACTGAAAGGTTAAGCAATTTGCTCAGAGCTACACAGCCAGTATGGGCAACAGGGAAAGAACCAGTAGAATAGGAACAGTTTGAGAATGAGACATACAGAGAGACAAAGACAGAGACAGAGTGACAGAGACAGAGAGAGAGAAAGGAGATGACATTGTGGGCAATCTGATGAAGACTGGAGGAGATGGGACCAAAAATGTAGCTAGAGGGACTGGCCTTAGCAAGAAAAAGAGCCACCTCTTCATCCAAGATCAGAAGAAGGTCGGAGATTTTGGGAAAAGGAAGCCTGAGTGAATTAAAATAAGGCAGAGAAGAGAAAAGGGAGCTCTTGGTCAATGACCTCAATTTTTTCTTTAAAGTATGAAGAGAGGTCCTCAGGAGAGATGGTATGATCACAAGTACCATGAGAGGTTGGAAGAGAGATGAGAAGGTTTAGAACAATCACTGTGGATCTTACTGAATCATTTAGGGAGGAGCAGAATTATTGCCTTGTAACAGGGAAGGCATAATTGAGATTAGATCACTTAAATTCATAGTGGACCCAGTCATCACTGTTTCATGATTTTCTCCAGCTCTGTTCAGCAGCATGGGAACAGGGGAGATGGAGGCATATAGTGTGTGTTTGGCAAGGGCTGTTGTTTGGGAAATTGTGATCCATCACGGAATGGGGACAAGAGATTTCAGAGTAGAAAAAAACTGAATTGAATGAGTTCCACAAGGAGTTGACACAGAGGAGGGAGCAGACTGCAACTACTGCAAGAGTTTTGGCCTGAGAAGGAACTGAGTGATGGAGGGAATGAATGGACAAAGGGAAAGAGAGGTGAGGATGAAGAATAGGGTGAAGAGTTGGAAAAGATGGAATGATAAAAGATCATGATTATATATATAAAGGAATGTTAGAGTTCATGAATGGGGAAACAGAAGACTTGTGTTAGATGGCAAGATCAAAGGTATGATGATTTTGGGGTATAACTGAGGTGGAATGGAGAGGAGGTCATGGGAATTTAGTAGATTTGAAGAACTAAGAAATTAGGGTATTTGAAGGAGCTTTGATATGCATGAGGAAGTCCCTTACTATGAAGTCAGGAGCAAGAAAGACCAAAAGCCAGATGCTGAATTCTTTGAGGATTGAAGGACAATGTTCTGGGGATGATGGAGAGTGGACATCAGGATCTGGATTGGTTGATAAGTTTGGATAGTCTGAAACTCAAAGGAGGAGAAGTTGTCAAATGACAGTGGTAGAGGGAGGGTGGCGGTAGCAACAGGAAGCAAGTGGAATCTGTGAGTCAGAGGAATATGAGAGAAAATGGCAAGGGGAGCAGTATCATCAGCAGGAAGCTGGGTCTCAGGGAGAACTAGAAGACAGAAAGTGAGGTAGGAGGAGTTTTAAGATGACAGGAAGTATCTAATTCCAGGACGTGCTTTATCCTTTTCTAAGGTGCTTCACATTTAAACAAGACTTCAGGAGTCTTCTTTACAGATGGAAAAGCAGGGACGCTGAGGGGTCAAAGTTCATAGCAGTGAGTCAGGATGGGGAGGATAGAACCTATATGAAAGTAAACCCCATGAGGACAGAAACTGTGTTTTCCAGCTCCCTGTTAGACTCCAAGCACAGACTACTCTGACTTTCAAGAGCAAATAAAGTTCCATTTATAATCATTTTAAAGCACAGATCCTGACACAGTGCACATGCCAACCCTGAAACAGGGTTTTGTAAATAGGTAAAATAACTAAGCATGAGGAAAAATGGCTTTATTGAAAGTTTACTAAAATTTATTACATTTCAGTGGGTGTTTGTTCTCCAAACTTCCCAAACATGTAATAGGTAGGATCAATTTTCAATTAGCCACATATATCTGATCTGTTTTATAAATTATTTAAGTAGATTTTTAAGTTTGAAATTGAGTTGCTTTGCTCTATCAGCTAGCATATTATGCAAACTAATGTAAATTTTTTTTCCTACTCTGGCATCTCTGAGTATAGGAATTTCCTCCACCTTCCCCTCCTTCCAATGAAATTATTCTATAATTAATAGCTTCAGTGTCAGGACACTGAGAGGTGTATAATCACATAATTAGTACAAGTCAGGCATGAGCCTAACTTTAAGGCCAGGTTTCTACCTACTATACTATCCTGTCACTCAATATTAATTTCAGTCTAAGTAGAATAAATTAGGAAGACAAAGCTTAAAGGCGCATTTCCCCAAAAGCAACTTTTGAAAACTTAGTTGATCTCCCTTCAAGCTGCAACCAGTCTACTACTCTCTTTCTACTCTCTTTCCTCCCAGAAGGGAGGAACCTGCTAGCAGAATCTTCTCTTGGTTCTGCTTATTAACTTCAGGTCTAGCACCATCACCACCTTCCCATAAACTGAGACAGAAGATGGAAGAATTCCAGATTTAGAAGGGAGTTAGAGAATATCTAGTTCAGCTTGTACCTAAATAGGCATGGCTTTGACAACATCCCTGGAAAATGACAGGTATGTAACAGCACATAGTATATAGACATGTTTATGTTCTACTTGAAGACCACCAGGCATGGGGAACTCACTACCTGACAAGACCACTTATTCTCCTGTGGGGATAGTTCAAATTGTTAGAAAGTTCTTCTTTATATCAAATAAGATCTGCTTCTCTGTAACCTGACACCCATTGCTTCTTGTTCTACCCAATAGGGCCCAAGGAGAATGAGTCTAATCTCTCTTATAGGATAACCCTCTAAACACTTGAAGATATCAAAATAAGCTCCTCTTCAGGAATAAAAAAATTGGGTTCCCTTGCCAAAGATCATCATTTATACAATGGTGAGAAAGCTTCACTACAATACTGTCCTTGGAGTCCATGTCATGAGGTTGTCTTACAGTAGGTCATTGTTGTACTTCAGTAAATAAGCCCACTTGTATGGAGTAAAATAATATTAAGAATTCCATTATGTGACCAACAGAATAGAATAAGGTTCGAAATGGGTTATTTATTGAACTGGTTTCTATCCTGTCTCCATATTTATGTGTTCTGTGACTACCAGATTAAATTGTAAGAACTTAACAAATGGACTTAGTTTATTCACATGTTAAACAATAATGATGATGGTGATGATGATAAAAATAAAATAACATTAAGATTCCATGAAAAGTCCACAGGAAGTCACTGAACTAAAGATATAGAAACCCAACTCCCCTTTTCTTTCTCCCTTTAGTGAGGAGATTGGAAATATTGATCTTATTCAATGACATTAGGTAGATCTCTTCTTTTTTTTGTGAGGCAATCAGGGTTAAGTAACTTGCCCAGGGTCACAAGTGTCTGAGGCTGGATTTGAACTCAGGTCCTCCTGACACCAAGGCCAGAGCTCTATCTACTACACCTGCCTCGGTAGACCTCTTTCTTAAGGCTCTACCCAAGAGAAGACCCAAAGTCAATATCATAATTGGAAGTCACTTTAAATCAAAGAGCAAAGAACACTGAGGAGCACCAGAGCAGGGTGCCCCCCCCTTCCTTTACTGGAGATGCAAATTGAAGTTAACAAGCTAATTTGCTTCATTTTCACCCATGCTGAGTTGGATGCTGGGAACCTTGTTCATAGACTTATTTTTCACAAAATCTTTTTTTAAGAAAAATTTCATTTCCAATAGTTTTTGTGAAAAGTTTTCATTCTAATGCATTCTGTTGTCATTTGAATTGAGGCAGAGTCCCCAAACTACAGGAAAATGCACCAAAGCAGAAAAATATGCTGTTAGCCCAGAGAAAGCCCTGATTTAAGTAAAATGCCTGAAAAAAGAATGTGGAGCGTTCTTTATTAGTCACCCATTCCCTGCTGGCATAATGCATTCCAGCACTGATTCCCAGTCTTGGCTTTGCCATGCCACAAGGTGTCGCCATTTATCTCCAGGGTATCATGAAATTCAGAAGCAATTTCCCCAAAGGATGTCAGAGGAAAGAAGAGACAACTGTGTGCCTAAAGCTACAGGCATTCAGCTTCCCCTGATTTCCTGGGCTTACTTAAGCATATTGGGAATTAGCCTCAGTGCTGAACACCTATTTGTTGAGTATGTTATAACAGAGATTCCTTTTGATTATGGCTTACACTAGATGGCCAAATAAGGCCTCTTTCCAACTTGAAAATTCTCAGATTTTGGAATTCGGTGACTAATGCAGAGACAAAGGAAGAGAGGGAATTCTAGGGAAGTGAGAAGCTGAGTGTTCTCCAGCTTGCATTGAACACCAAAGAGGGATGATGTTGGGGGAATTTGGGTTCCGGTGCCTTCCCCAAAAGGGCGTATATACTAACATGGAAACGTAATGATGAGAGGCTGTTAATAAGTTTGGTCTTTCATTATGTCAAGTCAAGTCAACAAGCATTTAATTAAGTGTCTACTGTGCACTAGGCACTGTGTGAAGCTGAATTAGGTATTTTCTGGGACGGGAAGAAAAAGGGAGCGGCAGCTGTAAGAAGAGCATGAGTTAAGGGAGAACTTTTCAGATGACAGTCGCATAACAGCCCACAGCATCCTCTTTAGAGGCAGCTGGAAGGTTTCATGGTGGGGGAGGGGGGAAGAGGTGGGGAATCAATGCATTTGTCGGAGCAAATATGGCACAAAAGAAAGATCACTGTAGTAGAAGACAGAAGACCTGGGTTCCAATCCTGATCCCATCATACATTTATTAGTTGAGCATTCTTGGGCAGAGGCAGCTGCAGGTATGCTAGGCCTGAATCAGGAAAACCCAAGTTCAAATCCTGCCTCAGATATTTATTAGCTGTGTGACTCTAGGCAAGTAATTTAAAAGTGTCTGTTTGCCTCCGTTTCCTCAACTACAAAATGGGGATAATAATAGCACCTAGCTTGCGAGGTTATTGTGAAGATTAAATGATGTAATATTTGCAAAGTACTTAACACAGTACCTGGCACATAGTAGGCACTTAATCAATCAATAAACGTGTATTCCCGTTCCTTTCCCCTAATATGAGTCACTTGCCTCAGTTTCCTTCACCATAAAATGGGTACAATATTATCTGTCCTGAATACCTCATCAGGTTAACAGTAAGTATCAAATAAGATAAAATATTTCAAAGTGCTTTGAAAACTATAAAACTATACCATTATATAAAAGATGGTGGTATTATTATTAAAACAACAATAAGACCTCTATTCAACTCATGTAAATGGTGTATGAAGGTGAGATGGGTGAATGTGAGAGAACCTGGTTCCATACCAGGAATGTTGCTTGATCTTACCTTTCATTTATGCTTTCTGCACGGAGAGTGTAGACTCTATCAATGTGGGAAATGTGGAAGATGGGCTCATCTCCAGAAGGGTCAGTAGGCAATTTTACTAGGACTTCATTTAGGAAAATGGGCTGAAAAATACCATGCATGGGTATCACAATACTATTCTGATTGGGAAGAATAAAAAGATAGCATTTGTACTATCATCCCTCATTTCCAATGATTTATATCTTACCACCAATTTGCACATTTTTAAAAATAATTCTTTGTATAGATGTCTCTCTCTATCCCAATTCTTTACCCTTACTAAAAATTTTTTTTGAGTTAGGGAAACTGCTTAAGATATGATTTATCCATCATCTAGCTAGTATGTTTTTTTTCCTATGTAGGAATAATTTTTTTCCTCCCCCTAAAAATAACCATTGTATAGGAAAGCAATTGACCTCTAACTTATAGCCAAATAGTTTTCTCTAGACATTTTTATCTAAAAATTTAGCACAGTACCTGACACATAGTAGGCATTTAAAAAATGCTTGTTGACTAGACCACATACACCCCATCCCAAAAGAACTCAGACTCCCAGTCCTGGGACCCAGGACTCTGACTGGTGAGCAATCACATTATCTTACCCAGCTCTGGGCCCACTGTGCCAATTTCTAGCAACACTACCAAACGTACACCATCTGATGCCCACACTTATGCTCCCCTCTACATGTTGTTTTCTCCTATAGAAATAGAAACTCTTCAAGGATTGTCAAGGATTGTCTTTTTTGATTGTACTTGTAACCTCAAACTTAACACAGTGCCTGGCACAGAGTAAGTGCATAATAGATTTTTTTTTTCTTATCCACTGATTCATTCACATACAATGTTTTTCCCCCAAATAAAGCTAACAGTTTTTTTTTCTGAGACACCACCCACTTACAAACTCATCTAGAAAAAAAAACCCTCTAATTCTCTACCCCGATTCTAAACACACACAGAGCCATGACCATTTGAGCAAGACACATATAGTTCAAGGACCTAGTTTTTAAATGCCTAATGTCTAGAACGACTTTTGCCAGAAAAAAAAAAGTAGAAAAAGAGTTATTCTAAAGTTATTCTAAGGAGTCTGATGAGCTTTCCTGCCTATTTTACAGTTGTTTTGAGTTGCTGTCTTTCTGATAAAGTTGAGGTGGTTGCATGCTATAGATTAAGCCTCCTACTTTAAACTGGCTTCCATAAGCCTACAGCCAAAGTCTTATACTCAGCATATTATCCTTCTTCTATGTTTAAGCCTCAAATACTAGAGAAACACTGGCTCCTCTTAACTCCACATCATTTTTGCTTGTTTGAATAAAAAAAAAACAACAACACTATACCATGCCCAGTTGAAATTTCAAGAGACTTACCGTCTTATACATTTTATACTGTAGATTAGATTTGGGGCTGAAGACTTTGTCAGTCCCAGAAGAACCCAAAGGCTTGATTATCTGAGTCAGAAGAAGAAAGTCATTGAAAAGGAAGCCATATAGTTCCTTGTTGCTCTTGGCTTTGTACAATTTCCCACTGTGCAGGAATTTCCGTGGTCCCAAGCAATTGGTGACTGAGTTGAAAACAAGTTGCTAAGGAAGAAAAACAACCCACAGGAGAAATGATGAAGAACGTGCATCTGTTACTAAGAACATGGGTTTCCATTGGAATACTGGCCTACGCTTGACATGCTTCATTTCTTGGACTCAAATCAAGGAATGCTTTGTAAGTATCCAGCAGTGCCTATCTGGGCTGGACACCATACCTCCCCACCAAGACAAACAATCAATCAAAAAAAAAATGGGTCTGTGGGAATCCCAACTCATGTTGCCCAAAGATTTATATTTTCTTCCTTTCCTACTCCCTCTCCTTCCCCCACTCACCAACTCCACCAGTTGAAAGCCTTCAACCCTGAATGCTCTAACTCAGACACCAGCTGTGTGACCCTGGGCAAGTCACTTAACTTCTTTCTGCCTTTGTTTTCCTCTTCTGTAAAATGGGGACAATAATAGCATCTATCTCTCAGGGTTGTTATGAAGATAAAATAATATTTGTGAAGCACTTTGCAAATCTTAAAGTAAATAAATGCTATTATCATTATTATTATTATTACTTTATTACTAAATGAACTCTATGTTTCCTTTTATCTCTAATTCCTGTGGTCCTCTTCAAAATATCTAAGACAGCCTATTATCTAGAACAACGGTTCTCAGAGTGTGGTCTGAAGACTCTTGCAGGCCCCAAATCCCTTTCAGGAATTTATAAGATTACTATTTAAATAATAATACTAAGATATTATTTACCTATTAACATATCAATCTTTTTTCCTATTATATATGTATGAGGCCAAACTTCCTTCACATACTTCAACTAAAACAACAGATTGCAACAGGTTGAATGCAGAAACAGATATGAGAATTCAGTTGTCTTCTATTAATAGCCAGACACTAAAATGATTTGCCAAAATATATAAAACAATGCCACTCTTCTCACTGAATTTTTTTGGAGAAAATATAGTTATTTCTCATATATTTATATTAACCTGTAGTCAAATCAAGTCAACTAGCATTTATTAAGTACTTACTATGTTCCAGGCACAGTACTTAGCACTAGGAATACAAATATAAACAAAAAGAAAAGCAGTCTGGGCCCTCAAGAAGCTTACATTCTAACAGGGGAAGAAAACACATAAAAGGTGGGGAGAAGGTATTGACTGCCGGGGATGGTGGAGAAAACAGGAGAGCCCCTGGAGAGGGATGAAGGTATGTGTGGCCTGGGCAGTTTCTTTAGAATGTTAAGTTCTGGTAGCAACCAACCAATCAGAGGAAGGAGCCACTGGGGGGGGGGAGGGAGGGGGAGGAATCAGCTTCCAGCTTCCAAGGGCTTCCAGCCTCTTACAGCTACAATTACACTTCCAGAAATGTAACCGAAATGATTATTATTTTTTTAAATTATCAGTTTTAATTTTAAATGTGGTAAATATTGGTAGCTACAACCCACATAAACAAAAGCCCTCTGGGAGCCTCAATAACTTTTAAGTGTGTAGAGGGATATTGAGACCAAAAGAGTTTGACAACTACAGGTATAAAATATCAAATGCTGGTGGTAGGTAGTTTACTGACTTAGTCCATCATAAATATCAGTATCTATATCAGTACATATATTTTTTCCTTTTTTATGTAAATATTATTTTATTTTTTCCAATTACATGTAAAGATAGTTTTCAACATTCATTTTTTATAAGATTTTGAGTGTTAAATTTTTGTCCCTCCCTCCTCCCCAAAAGAGCAAGCAATCTGATATAGATTGTGCAGTCGTGTTAAATATATTTCCACATTAGTCACGTTGTGAAAGAAGAAACAGAATAAAAGGGGGAAAAATCACCAAAAAAAACCCATAATGAAAGGAAAAATAGTATGCTTCAATCTACATTCAGACTCCAAATTTCTTTCTCTGGAGGTAGACAGCATTTTCCATCATCAGTCTTTTAGAATTCTCTTGAATCATTGTATTGCTGAAAAGAGCTGAGTCTAACATAGTCGACCATCATACAATGTTGCTGTTACTGGAGTACTTATATTTTCAACAGACACTGCACACAGACCCTGACCAGAGTCCAGAATAGAATAGGAGCAGAGAGCAAGCTAAAATGCACTGGGGGCATTGAGTAGTGCTTTCCACAATCCTTGGCCATTTTTTAAAAAAATACCAATGTTCTCTAAGCCTTGCTAAATGGCTATGAATCATATAGAACATTATGTTCTACAAAGAAATAAAACTGTAGGTGGCCCAAAGGCCAGGGAAGAAATTCATAGTGCATGTAATCAGGCTGCAGCATTTTAACAATGATAATTAGTGTACTAAAAGTGGAATAAAAGGAAGGGTGTGATGAGTAAAGGAGGACAATCAATCGTGTAGTAAGAATGAGGGGTAACAGATGTCAGATACTTAGAGGAAGTCTTCCAGGACATCAGGTAGATAATCTACACAGGATTTGGAGGAGAAGATAGACAAAAGTTACACAAACATGAAGGGAGTATCCACATCCGTGAGATCACAAAATTTTCTAAGGTTCAGTCAAAAACATTGAGATATCCCTTTTAATGTAGGCTATCAGTTTTCTAGAGAGAATGAAAGGGAGACACTTTTTTTTAAGACTGGGTCTCTTCATATAAACCAGGCTGGAAGTCATGGACCTGATCTCATTACTAATCAATAAGCAGGGGAACTTTGACCTATTCCACTTCCAGCCTGGGTCAATTCGCCCCTGCTTAGGCAGCCTAGTGAGCCCTCAGGAATGACAGCTCACTATATTGATTCCATATTTAATGAGGCTTAGTCTGATCAGCATCCAATTAGCCATGCCCACTACAATTCAGAATTCCTGAGCTCAGATCTACCAACCTCAATCTCCCTGGTAGCCAAGAACAGGGATTAACTGGCATGCACCGCCACACGTGGCACAGAAGAGCGCCTTTCTGCAGTTTTCTTTTGCTCTGCTAGCACTTCTAAGAGGCTTTGGGAATAGAAAGTAGGAATGACAGAATAGAATACTTTCTTTCAATATCAAACTTTGAGATGGGGGACTAAATCCCTCTTCATTGGTTACTTCCCTGTTACCTACCAACCCACCTCTATCTCCTTCATTCTTAACAATCCCTCACTTGATCAGACCATCTGTTAAGTTTTCCCTTTGTGGTTAATTCCTTGACAAAGCCATTTAAACTAGGTGCTCCCTCTTCCTCTCCTCTCATTTTCTTCTAAAGCCTATGTAGACTGGCTTCTGACTTCACCATTCAACTAAAACTGCTCTCTCCAAAGATACCAATGATCATTCTCTGCCTTTCCCTCTCCTTCTCCTCTCCTCCCTGTCTCCCTCCTTCTCTCTCCTCTCTCTCCCTCTTCTTCTTCTTCTTTCTCTCTGTTTTCTCCCTGTCTCCCTCCCTCCTTCTCTCTTATCTCTCTCCCTCTTCTTTTCTCTCTCCTCTATCTCTCTCTGTCTCTGTCTCTATCTCTCTCTCTTTTTCTCCCCCTCCCTCTCTCCTTCTCTTTCTTCTTTTCTCCCTGTCTCTGTCTCCCTCCCTCCTTCTCTCTCTCTGTCTCTCTCTCAATCTCTTTCTGTGTCTCCTTTAATTAACAGGTAGCTTTATTTGAGGCATGAGTGTACATGTGTCAGTTTACATTTGGTTTTCTTTTTCAGGGTCCCTGTTTCTAAGTTACAGGAGATAAGTTGTTTTCCAAATCTTTTAGTTTATGAAGAAATACTAAAGAGATCATCAGGAGCAAACCACTAGCAGAAACCATTATTTCACTGGTGCCCACATTGGGGCATTGTAAGAGAAGGAAAAAATTTGACTACCCCCAGATCCAAACTATCTAAGCCACCTTAGATCTGACTTAACAAAATTTCTGCACACAACACAGGATGAGGAGGTTGGAGAGCAGATGAGATTACAACGTCTAAAAAAATATGCAAAAAAAAAAAAGATTACAAGGTCTAATGTTAAGAACAAGGAAACATTTCACATTACACATACTGCCCTGTGCCCATTTCCCCCTGCTGAGTACAGTCATTGATTCTGCTCCAATGTCTCTAGTTTCCTGTGCTTTCCCTTCACCCACCCTGTTCAGCTATCTTCACTGAGGAAGTGGAAGAGAAAGTGAGGGAAGGGAGGGGAGGAGAAGAGAAATAGCCCAACCCTGAAACTCAGCCACCTGAGTTTTTCAATGAACCTGTCAGTCAACTAGCATTTATTAAGCACCTACTATATGCCGTTGAGGTTAATGTCCCTCTCAGATTGGCCTGTCTACTCCTTGAAACTCAAGGTGATACAGATTTTGTTGCACACATTGAACCATTTGAGGGGATGGTCCAGTTTTCCAGCTCTCTGGTCTGGAACCCCAAATTCTGGTTGGAGCCCCTGAAACAGAACTGCTTGAAGATGGCCTTTTGGTCCTTGGGTTAGGTGGCAGATAATTCCTCTCCTCAGCCCTCAGGCTCTGCACTTTGCCTGCCATGGGTGGCAGGAGAGAATATTGTCAAGGACTACGGCTGAGGCTGGGGGAAGTGTAACTGGCCCAGAGAGAATCTCAACTAGTATAAAGCCAAGCTCCCTCCTGGTCTGGCTAAGAGTTTAAATCTTCCTACTGTAAACAGCTCCCTGGTCCCTCTCCAATCTTAGACTGCCAGAGCCAGCTCTCAAAAGAAGGGAGGCAGGAAAGGGGAAGATCTGGAATCGCCAGCAACACCACGCAAAGCACCTGGTCCAGTGTAAGTATTTAATAAATGCTTGTTTACTTGACTAAAGTCTTAAAATCTAAGCTTTAATGATGGACTCCTTTGTCCCTACCATTCTACCCCACCCTCATGAATTAGAATCCAGCTAGTTCCCAACCAGCAAAGTGAAGGGTGTCCAGGTCTGTGTGTGACCATCAGTATCCAAGGTGTCTCTGAGGTTCCTTCTCAGACTTCTCTTCCAAACCCCTCCTTTCAGGATCAAAGCATCTGGAAAAGTTTCTTCTTTACCTAAGCCTACAGGCAGAAAGAGGAATCCCAGGCCTATAAATCAGGGCAAAACTGCTGCCCTCCCTGAGTTAATGTTTAACCCAGGAAGGGCAATGAGTTTGTTTTTTGTTGGGGGTTTTTTTCCTCAAGGCTGTCCAAAGTTTATTAGTTTCTTTTGAGTACAAAGTAAAGAAAGTTACTGAGCCTGCTGGAAAGCACATAGGTGACTTGGATAATAAAAGAGAAAGGCAGTTTCTTGTCTTCACTTTTGGTGTTTTTCTTTTAAAAAACACACAACACAACTTCTACACTTAAGCAACCTGCTTGATCTAAGGGATGGGGGAGGGGGGAGAGGAAGTGAGGGGAGGGAAGAAGGGAGGAGAGAAATGAGCTTTGAGGCTTCAGAATCTGGGAGCAGCAGGAAGGGCACTGCCCCTCGTGCAGAAGGCCCAGCATGGTTTTGCCAGAATCCATGACATGCCCCTTCCTCATGGACTCTTGAGCCAGGTCACAGGTGCTTGCGCCATCAGCAACCTATGAACTTACTGAATGCTCTGAGGATTCCGATATAGCTGTCATGAGTGAATAAATCCACTTCTGAAAAAAGATTGCTACCAATGGCCTGGCTCTGATTTTGCAAAACCAGATGGTGGGGGATCACTTTTCTAGAGTAGTTGGGCATTTCCACAGAACTGTTGCCAGAGCAGAATTTAGACATTTTCTGTGATAGTCATGGGGAGCTACAAGTTGAACCATTAGATGAGACTGCTGCCGTCTCGCTTGATACTGTTGTTTGTGCCAATGGAAACTTTAGTGGTAGCTTCTGAGCAGCTTTTGTTAGGCATATGATCACTGGCGACTTGGCTCAGAGGAAAGGAGCACTAGGCTACTGTATCCTTTTGTACAAGAGATCAGTGGAGGATGTTCCACAGCAATGGAAGATGTGAGAATTCTTTGGGTTTCCCAAATATCTTAATTGCCAAATCTAATGGCCTTTTTGCAGTTTTCATCCTTCTTGACCTCTCTGCAGTCTTTGACATTATGATAATCTCCTTCTGCTTATACTCTTTTTTTTTTTTTAAGTTTTCATAACACTGATCCTCCCTGGTCCTCCTCCTCCTCTCAACTCTTTTCTCAGTCTTCTTCACTGGATGTCCATTCATGCCATGACCATCAATCACAGGTGTTCCATAATGCTTTATCCTGGGCCTTCTTCTCTTCTTATATACTACTTCATTTGGTGATTTCATCGACTGCTATGGGGCTCGATTATCTTCTTTATACAGATGATGCTTCAGTCTCTCTCCTGAGCTCCAGTCCTATATCGCCAACTACCTTTTGGACATTTTGAACTGGATATCTCATAGGAATATCAAACTCAACATATCCAAAATAGAATTCATCGTCTCTTCCTGAAAACCCTCCCCTCCTTCAAACTTCCCTATTATTATTGTCAAGGGTACCACTACCCTCCCAGTCACCAGTCTCAGACTCCTTACTCGTATTCACTGTATTTATATTTACATATATGTGTGTCTACAAATACCTATATCTATAACCCTATCTATAACATCTATATCTATATACATATATATATATATGCATATATATACATATATATGTATATACATATATATATATATATATGCATATATATATACATATTATATGTATGTATATATACATATATATATGTATATACATATATATGTATATATATGTATATATATGTATGTATATATATGTATATATATACATATATATACGTGTGTATATATATATATATATGTATATATATATACATATATATACGTATATATATGTATATATGTGTATATATATACATATATATATATACATATATGTATATATATATATATGTATACGGACACAATCTGCTGCCAGTTTCCACCTATATGACATCTCTCATATATGTCCCCTTGATGCAGGCTGTCATAATATTATGTCTGTACTACTGCAACAGTTTTCTAATTGGTCTCCTTGCCCCCATTTCTTTCCTCAGCTCAATTCGTCCTCCACTCAGCTCCCAAAGTGTAGATCTAACTGTACCACCCTCTATTCAATAAACTCCACTGGCTCCCATTTATTTCCAGGATCAAAGTCTTCTGCCTGACATTTAAAGCTCTTCACCTCTTTGGACTCTTTGTAACTTTCTGGTCTTTTTACACTTTATTCTCCTCTAGCTACACTAACCTTTATGCAGTTCCTCACGCATTATATTCTATCTCCTGACTTTGTGCCTTTTCTTGGCTGTCCCCCATAACTGGCATGCTTTACCTCCTCACCTCTGCCTCCTAGCTTTCTTAAAGACTCAGTTCAAATCCTGCTTTCCTAAATTTTTTACAGAAACTATCTCTGATAAAGACCATTTATACACACACACACACACACACACACACACACACACACACACACACATATATACAGATACACACACACACACACACACACACACACACACACACATATATACAGATACACACACACACACACATATGGAGAGAGAGGGAGGAGAGAACTGAGTCAAATTTATAAGAATAAAAGTCATTCCCCAATTAATAAATGGTCAAAGGATATGAACAGGCAGTTTTCAGAGAAAGAAATCAAAGCTATGTATAATCATATGAAAAAATGCTCTAAATCACTGTTGATTAGAGAAATGCAATTAAAATAACTCTGAGCTACCACCTCACAGCCATCAGATTGGCTAATATGATAGAAAAGGAAAAGGATAAATGTTGGTGGGGATGTGGGAAAACTGGGACAAAAATGCAAAGTTGGTGGAGTTGGGAACCGATCCAACCATTCTGTTTGGTTTTTTTGTTTTTTGTTTTTTGGGCTAGGCAATGGGGTTAAGTGACTTGCCCAGGGTCACACAGCTAGTAAATGTTATGTGTCTGAGGTCGGATTTGAACTCAGGTCCTTCTGAATTCAGGGCCAGTGCTCTATCCACTGCACCCCCTAGCTGCCCCTCATCCAACCATTCTGGAGAGTAATTTGGAACTATGCCCTAAAGGCTAAAAAACTGTGCATTTGATCCAGCAATATCACAACTAGATCTGAATCCAAAGGAGATTTTAAAAAACAGAGGGAAAGGATCTATTTGTACAAAAATATTTATAGCAGCTCTTTTTTGTGGTGGTAAAGAATTGTAAAATGAGGGGATATCCATCAATTGGGCAATGGCTGAACAAGTTGTGGTATATAATTATAATGGAATATTATTGTGCTATAAGAAATTATGAACAGGATGATTTCAGAAAAACCTGGAAAGACCTACACGAACTGAAGCAGAGTGAAGTGAGTAGAACTAGAACACTGTACACAGCAATATTGTATGATGAACAACTATGAATGACTTCAATATTCTCAGCAATACAATGATCCAAGATAATCCCAAAGGATTCATGATGAAAAATGCTGTCTCCAGAGAAAGAACTGATGGTGTCTGAATACAGACAGAAGCATACTATTTTTCACTTTCTTTCTTTCCTTCTTTTTTTTTGTTTTCTTCCACAAAATGACTAAAACAGAAATATGTTTTACATGATTGCACTGTATCACCAACGTCAGATGCTTATGCTCAGTGAGGGGGAAGGGTTGAGAGGGAAAGACAGAGACTTCAAAGAAATGAATATTAAAAATTGTTTTTACATGTAATTGAGGAAACGATAAAATTTTTATTTAGACCAAAAACAAATCCTGCTTTCTGAAAGAGGCCTTTCCCCATTCCCACCTTCAATGCCTTCCCTCTGAGATTACTTTCCATTTGCATACATGTATACATACATATATGTATGTCTACATTTACACACATATGTGTATGTCTTCTATTTAATTATCTGCACATTATCTCCATCATTAAAATGTCAGCTTCTTGATGTCAGAGATTATCTTTTTGCCTTTCTTGTATTCCCAATGCCCAGTACGGTGCCTGGCGTAAAGAAAGCATTTCACAAATACTTGCTGATTGATTGACTATCATGGCCACACATCCCCAGTAAGGCAGTGCTACTCCCGAGCAGGTCACCACTAGATTAACCACCTCACCTAACACTGACATGACTCAAAGGATCCAAGAATTTTAGATCTATAAAGATTCTTGAAAGTCACATGGTTCAACCCTCTCATTTTACACGTTTAGAAAAAAAATAACTGGAAGCAGGAGCAAAGTGATAATGGAGGTAATGACTTCCCTTAATCAATTGTTCTTGTTATTCCCCAGTCTCAGTCCCAGATTATATAACTTGGGGGAAGGGGAATGAAGAGGTAAGTTTCCCATGGCCAAGGAAAGATATAAATGTATACATGTAGGAAAGAAAAAGGAGAGAAAAGGGAAGAAAAGGTAATGGAAGAGGAGGAAAAACTTTAAAAAAAAAAAGGCGAGAAGGATTTGGGAGATGAATGTTTTGCCTCTTTCCCAGCTCTTATCTTCCTCCTCCTCCTCACAGCCTCCTTCCAGATCCCAGGACCCTCTAGTGAGGACTGCCCTCATCCTTAGCCATTAAAGTCACTACCTCAGATAGGCCTTCACACTGCACGTGTGCTTGGATCCACTCCAACCGGTCTGAATTCTCCTTTTCACGTACACCTTCGTTGACTTGGGAACACAATTCTTCAGCCTTCTCTAGAGCATGTTTCAAGTGACTATAGTCAGGGTGGTTTTCAGGAGTGTTTTCTAAGATCTACAAATGAGAAGAAGAAGACAAAAAAAAATCCTTTTCATCTTTTCTCCCACTCAGACTGTGTAGATGAGTTGAGGGCTGTCCATGTGAGGCCCTTAGCAGAGTGGAAATAGCAGTATCCTTTCCTTATGCTCTTTGTACCCACACTGACAACATCCTGGATGTCAGGATGCTGGCGTGACCCCTCCACTTTAAAGGGGAAGGAATGAAGAGACAGAGGCTCACACAAGGAGAAGCAGGAATTAAGATTTAAATTTCTTTAATGCTTCTGACTCCCTAGACCATAGACCACTGTAGCTGAATTCTACCAGGAATAGTCTGAGTGATATATTCCAGATTGTCACAAACACTGGGCTAGAGGAAGTGATCTCAAGTGTCTTAGCTCCTGGAACACACAGTAACTTTATTCTTAACTAGCTGGATATATCATTATGTTAATTCCAGTGGAGTGGGGGACATTCGGGCACCTGGGCAGTGGAGTGGATAAAGTGCTGGAGTCAAATTCAGCCTCAGACACTTACTAGCTTTGTGATCCTGGAGAAGTCACTTAACTTTTGTCTGCATCAGTTTCCTCATCTGTAAAATGTGGATGATAATAGTTCCTACCTTTCAGGGTTTCTGTGATGATCAAGTGAAATAACATTTGTAAGTACTTTGCAAACCTTAAATTACCATGTAAATGCTAGTTGTTGTTATTATTATTATTATCCTCTTTAGTAGTCCCACAGTTGATTCAATACCATAGATTAACAAATAAAGCATGGAATAACAGGATTTAATATATATGTATATATAATATATAATAAAATAAAATTAAATAATAAAATATTATATAATAAAGAAATATATATTTAAATTAACATGCATTTATTTCCTAACCTTCCCAATCCCCTTCCCCCTAAAGGCTAGGATATCTTCGAACTTCAGGTAGTACAACAGAGGCAACAGAAGGTAGAGCAGTACAGTGGAAGGAGCATAAGTTCTGGAGTCAGAGAACCTGGGTTCAAATCCCACCTCTGTTACTTATTCCCTCTGATTGCATGGCTTTTCCCTAAACCTCTATTTAAGGAGGGCCTCTAGGACCCTGAGCCCTGTATCTACCTTCCCTCATCTCACTGTCCTCAATTCAGTCTTCTGAAGTAGGTAGGGATCCTATTATTTTTCTCCTCTTAGAAACCACAGGGCCCAGCAAAATTAAATGATTTGCTCAATATCCTGTTGTCAGAGTCAAGAAGTAAATACAGGTTTCCTATGAAACAGTGAATCCAAGAATCTAGACACCCACTGCTAAGGCTATTTTCTACCTAAGTTCTGCCTTATAGTCACAAAGTACAAGTACCCAACTTCCATCATCATTTGTATGATCTCTGCAAAGGAGACACCAGCAGAACAGTTAGTAATAATCCTGGACTGAAACAATATGAAGACAGGTACTCACATTTTTAATGATTAGTGGGTATCTTGTTACCCGCTGCATAGGCTTCAGGATAAAACTAGAGAGTGGCATCCCTTTACACCGAGGATCCATAGCTAATCTCTGAAAAAACAGAGTTTGTAAAAAAAAGATTAGATTTGAGAAATGCGCAGCTTTCCCTTTCAGAAAGCTAATAACTAAAGGGAGTGATTTCCTAATCACCAAATCTTATGGCTTTTTTTTTTAACCTTCTTGACTTCTCTGCAACACTTGAAACTTAATGCTCCCTATTCTTCTTCTCTGGTTTCAGAAATACCATACTCAGCTGGTTCTCTTCCTATCTTTCTAACTACTCTATCTCTGACTCCTTCACTAGCATCTCACTCTCTTCCCAATCACTAAAGGTGGGCGTTCCTCAAGGTTAGTCCTTTCTTTCTCAACACTAATCTAATATAGGCAAGTAGGTGGTGCAGCGGATGGAGTGCTGGGCCTGGAGTAAGAAAGTTCAAATCCCACCTCAGATACTTACCAGTTGTGAGACTCTGAGCAAGTCACTTAAGCTCTGTTTGCCTCAGTTTCCTCAAATGTAAAATGGGGATAATAACAGCCCCTACCTCACAGAGATGTTGTGAGGACGTTGTGCTTAGCACAGTGCCTGGCACATAGAAGGCATTATTAAATGCTTATTCCCTTCCCTTAATTCAATCTCAATGAACTCAGTGAACTCATCTCTGCAGAAGACTCCTAAATATCTATTCCAATCTTGACATCTCTTTTGAACTCTAGCCTGAGATCTCTAACTGCCTCTAGGAAATCCACTTGGATTTCCCATTAGCAACCCAAACTCAATATTTCCAAATCTGAGCTCACTCTCTTTTCCTTTAAGTGCGCTTCTCCTTCTGACTTCACTATTTCAATGCTCTGTTCCTGAACTTGGGCTCATCTTTGACTCTTCCTATCCTGCACCTATACTAACTATGGGTAACCCCTAAGGCTCTGTCTTAGGACCTCTTCTCTTCTCAGCTGTGATCTTATCAGCCTCCACAGTTCCATTATCACCTCTGCTTAGACGATACTCAGCTCTGTATGCCCAGCTCTGGTCTCTTTCCCCAGCTAGAGTCTCACAACATCAGATGTCTTTTGGACATTTCAAACTGTATGTCTCAAGGGTAACTCAAACCCAACATGGCTAAAACTGCTCTTATCATATTCCCTCTTCCAAACTTCCCTATTGCTGTCGAGAGTATCCTCTCGGTCACTCCAGCTCAGAATCTTGCTGTCATCCTTGTCCTCTCACTTTTATTCACCCACAAATCCAAACTGTTGCTGAATTTTGTTGTTTCTACCCTCACAATAATGCTTGCACGTGAACCTCTCTCTTCCTCAAATACAACCACATCTCATGTAGATTATTGCAACAACTTTCTAATTGGTTTCCATACTTCATCTCCCCCCCCCAACCCCATTCAATCTATCCTCACTCACCTGCCCAAATTATTTTCCTCAAGTGTAAGTCTGACCATGACCCCCACCAACCCCGTTCCATTCAAAAAACTCCAATGGCTCCCTTTTACTTTCAAGAACAAATATAAAGTCTTCTGTTTAGCATTCACAGCCCTTCACAATCTGACCCCCTCCTATTTTCTGGGGCTCTTTACATTCTGCTTCCCTCCACCCATTCAACAACCAGCCACTGCTGACCTGCCTAGGTATTTGTATATTTACCTTTCCCTTTAGTATGTGAGCCCCTTGAGGGTTTTTGCCTTTCTTTGTACAACACAGCACAAAATAACCGTTTAACAAATACTTGTTGACTGACTGCCGTTCTGAAATCCAGAGTGTTACCAAGTCCTGCCAACAGTATTCCTACAGTATTTCCTGCATCCATCTCCTTTTTCTCCATTCATAAAAAAGCCTAAGGATTGGTTCCTCAGGTGTTCTCCTCTAGACCTCCCTCCATGCTGGCACCTACCTACCCAGGGTTAGTTTTTAGGCCTGGTCATTCATTCAGTTGGCACCCACCTAACTGTACTATTATTTATTTTGTCATCTTGTCCACTAAGATAGCATGAGAGACCTTATCAAATGCATTGCAAATCAAGGAACATAATGTCTAAGGTCTATTCCCCTATCAAAAAGGAAAATGAGATTAGTCTGTCATGACCTGTTGCTGATAAAGTCATGGCAGATCTTCATGATCAGCTCTTTCAGTTCAATTCATTAAGTGAAAGTGGTTCATTAAGACAGAGTGGTGAGTTTGGATTCAGAAGGACCTAAATTCAAAACCTTCCCCAGACACTAGCTGTGTGACCCTGGGCAAGTCACTTAATCTGTTTGCCTCAGTTTCCTCATCTGTAAATTGAGGATGAGTAAGGATAAAATGAAAAAATATACACACAGCACTTTGCAAATCTTAAAAGGCTTGTGTCAATGCTAGCTATTTTAGTTATTTAAAGGGGACTGTATTTAATCCCAAAGACGATCAGAAGCCATTGACATTTCTTGAGCAGACAAGTGACACAGCCAGACCTGTGCGTTAAGAATATCAATTTGGCAGCAATATGGAGGATGGATTAAATAGGGGAGGGGCTTGATTCTGGGAGACTTAAATCTAAGCCTGTTACAATAATAGTCTCAGTCACAGGGGATGAAACCTGGACTAGAGGTCAGGGCTAGCTGAGTGGAAAGCAGGAGATGCCCAGGAGACATATTGTAGAGGCACACCTGAACTTCAGGAAGCTTCTCTAACCATCCATTTAATTACACATTCTAGAATGTTCCCAGGAATTAAAGTCAAGCTCTCCAACCTATAGTTTTCAGATTCCATTTTCTTCCTCCTTTTGAAAATTAGGATAACGATGTCTTTCTTGGGTCTCCCTCATCACCATCTTTCAAATGTCACCCATAATGAGCAGTTTCAGAAACCAGAGCAGCCAGTTCTTTCAATACCCCTGGAAGCAATTCATCTTTACCAACTGATTTTCATCCATTACAGACCCATTCTTACTATCACTTTGCTTAGGTTGGATTTTAAATCTCTACTGGCTATCTTTGTTCTGTCCTTTCTAGCCCAAATATTATTCTCCTTGCTCAAAAAAAAAAAGCCCATTAAGTTAAATAGCTCTGCCTTCTCTCTATAATCATCTTCCCATCCATCCCAAGAAGCAAGTGATCCTGTCTTTTCTTTTACCCTTCTTCCCTCTTCTCTCTACCTCCAATGCTCCAAAACATAGCTAAATTTAGTCATCAAGTTTCACAAGTTTTGGGAAGTGGTCTGTAACATCCTGGACAAATACCGTGGGAAAGCAGCAGAACTCTATTGTTTAGGCTAGGCTGCCTCAGCACTCCTCAGGAAGGAGTCACTTGCCACTGATGCTTCTTTCTTTTTCCTCTGACCCTTACTGTCAGATCTCTCTCTCTCTCTCTCTCTCTCTCTCTCTCTCTCCAGTTCCTATACACCCAGGTATCATTCCTTGTTACACAAAAAAACCATGTAGGCAAAAAGCCTTAAATCAATGACTCAGCTCCAAGTGTTCAGGATCTTCTTCTCTTTCTCCTCTTTGTCATATTCTTAGACTCTCCTAACCCAGGTCAGCATCACCTTCTGCCTCTTCATTTTTTTTTCTCCTTTTTATTTTGCCTTGAGGACCTACTTTCATTCTTTTATATATTTTTTGAAGGAACACTACATTGTTCTTCTTCTTTTTTTTTAAGGCAACTGGGGTTAAGTGACTTGCCCAGGGTCACACAGCTAGTAAGTGTCAAGTGTTTGGTCTGAGGTCAGATTTGAACTCAGGTCCTCCTGACTTCAGTGCCGGTGCTCTATCTACTGCGCCACCTAGCTGCCCCCAATATAGAAAACGAGGCTGGAGCCAGACTGGGAAGCATTTTATTTTATTTTATTAAGGCAATTGGGGTTAAGTGACTTGCCCAGGGTCACACAGCTAGTAAGTGTCAAGTGTTTGGTCTGAGGCCGGATTTGAACTCATACCTTCCTGACTTCAGGGCTGGTGCTCTATCCACTGCGACACCTAGCTGCCCCCTACATTCTTCTTAATAACCCAGTTAAGTGGATGGGTGTTCCTTGAGTCCACTCATATGAGAACTCAGTTTAATTTAAAGCTTAAGATCTATAAATCACTTTTCTTTTAAGTAGCTTCATATACAATAGTACACCCATACCAGAAAGCCAACCTTTACCTAAAAATCTAAAAATTACAAGACAACTTTCCTCTGAGTAGCTGAGACATCAGAAAGCAGCTACTGGCATCACACCAGATAATTTGGCACTTCTGGTAACCACAGCCTGCATCAAATTAGAGCTATCTCAGCAGTGAGGGCAGAACTGGAGTTTACAATGCCAAAATCTGGTCAGTGTTTTAAACCATGATGGGCAAAGGATAGGAAAAGAAGATCTCTCATCAATTCCCTAGAGGATTGTGCTATACATAGTTTTATTTTTTAATTGCTTTCAGGGAAGCCAATGTTTTAGCACTAAAAGTCAAATCCAATCCATCCAACAGCAAGCTCATGCTCAGATCCATTCCAAATCTTATCAGATGCAATGTTAGGATTTCATCTCCTTTGCTCCTTCCCTATAATCCCAGAAATGTTAGCACAATAGACATTAAAGTAGACAGAATCTACCTCACAGTAGACATGTCTTATGCCTCCCATCTCAATTCAAATCAGCATTTGTTGAGCACCTACCATGGGCTAGGCATTAAATGATTAATAATACACACAACTATGTATTAATAATATACATAACTGCCTCCAAGGAATCTTCAATCTAGTAAAGGATGGGGGGTGGGAGGGAAGACAAGCACAAAATTAGCTATAATACAAAGCTAGAAGCCCTCATTTTTTGCCCCAGAACCCAGCACTACCAATAGTCCTGATCTCATGTAGATATTACTATCCCTATTGTACAGATGAGAATATAGAGGATGAGAGAGATAAAGTGACTTGTCCAGGGTAACAGAGCTAGTGCATGTCCGAGAGGAGTTCTGAGCCCAGTTCTTTTTGACTCTAGGTCCAAAGGCCTTTGTCAGGGCAACTCTCAAAAGCAAACAAACCCTTGTACAAAGTAGGCATTCGATAGTATTTGTTGATGATGACAGTGTGATGAACACTGATATCACAGACATGAAAATGCTCTTTCTACCAGAATGAAGGGAGAAAATAACAAGTTATTTTCCTCTTACTAGTACCTTGCTATTTGTGGAGACAAATTCACTCATTGAGTGATTATATTTAATTTACTTTTTATTTTTTTCCCAGGAGAATTGGGGGGCATGCCCATATTATTAACAGCATCACTGCCATGTCCAGGAACAGTATCAGTCCTTCACAAAGGAACAGGCAAAAATCACTGAGCTGCTGGGTCATGTCCTTCCTACTTCCTCATTAGTAACCTTGACTGCTATGGCACGCCTCACTGATCACTATGGTTCCTAAGTCCTTCACACACAAAAATAAGCAGAGGAGGAAAGCAGTGGGATTCTTTGGTTACTCCTTCTGGTGGCAAAGACACTTGTGCAATGAACCTAATAAGATGATTTAAGTCAGCAAGGTGGCACTGTGGAGTCAGGAAGATCTAAGTTCAAATCTGGTCTCAGACACTTACTAGCTGTGTGACCCTGGGCAAGTCACTTAACCCCTATTTGCCTTAGTTTTCTCACCTGTAAAATGGGGGTAATGACAGCCCTTCCTTCCCAGGGTTGTTGGTAGGAAACGAAATAGTAATTATGCAAAGTGTTTAGCACAGTGCCTGCAACATATCAAGTGCCATATAAATGTTAGTTGTTATTGTTGTTATTTACCAATTATTTACCATAAAAGTCAGTGCCAGAATAACATCCAAGAAGAGTTCTCTAGAGCTGTGGGCAGCCAGCTTTTTTGATGCTCTCCAGTTTAGCTCTGCTGTGCAGACACTGATGACATTTAAAACTGTTTCAAAGGAACTATTAATTCTTTCCACCCACCCAACAAAATGCACAGGACAAACTCTGAAGGACACGTCAGCAGGCGTTCACTCAACTCCTTACTTTGACAAACTCCTTGAACTCAGGGGCTTCATCTGTCTTCTGCTGGATGAGAGCTGCTCCATTGAGCTGGCAGCTACAGAAACGTATATAAGGCTGCATATGGGGCAGCTGGGCTGTCAGGATATCGCCAATCATCTTTACGGGCATTCTCTCACCAGACATTTTCTTCCGAACTCTCAGGGCTCTACATTGGAAAGAGAAAAAGTTGTCTTTCACACATTGACTGCCAGTGTATGGGAATCATTTTCTGGTCCTCATTGAGGAATGATGTTTATTAGAAACCTAAGTCACTAATAGATCTATTTAGGAGACACAGAAAGAAAGAAAATGAATCTTACCAATCTACAGAGACTTCACGACATCAGTTCTACCTGCTAGGAGATGAAATTACTTTTTGAGATCTTTTTTTGAATCTTGGTGAGAAAAAGATTTACACTTTCTTATTCAGTTCAGGTAAGTATAGTCAACCACCCCATTTTACATCTGTGAAAATCCCTTTATGGATTATTTGTGACAAAAAATACCAGCCTGGTTTAGCCCTTCTAAGTACGCTTCTAAGCTACCTTTACAACTGTTCCATTGGTGAATCCTAGGGAAATGGTAGCTCATTTTAATATCAGCTGGTGCAAAACAAAATTATGAACTAAATTAATTGCCTCTCCCAAGTATATTGTCATTGACAGAGCTAAATATAAATTACTTTATGGATTATTGTACAACTTCTCTCCATCATCACAATAGCTAATTGGTGGTGTTGGGCAGAAACATGAACATTCTGAAAACAGCATGCAAATATGGTAATAAATTCAAGCTGTGTCCTAGAAACTGATAAGAGGTGGTAGTGGAATTAGGAAGATGTGTTGGCCTTGGAAAACATCTGCGTGAATTTTAAGGGCTATATTACACAAGGGTTCTCTCCTATGGATAGTTTTATGGCACACCTAAGATTTATTCACAAGTCTAGTATAACTTTGGAACTTAGAAAATGGGTAGTTTATAAATGGCAAGAATTCAAATGTCAAATGTGGGCAGGACTACAATATCTGAGGGCCTAAGAGTCATGCATGCACAGGTAGAAAGCAAAGTCCTTCACAAGTAGTAAGTAAACATTTGTTGAATGAATGGTGTATAGAAATTGCTATTGTCATTTTCTTTGGTTTTAAAAAGTGGTAAGATTTTAGAGGGATAGAGGATATGCCTAGAAATGCCCCATTTAAAGTCCCATCTCCTTTTCGTATTCACTGAATAAGGTATGAAATTCTAGGGTTTAGGTCAACTCTTGGACAAAACAAGAACTTGCCTTATTCTGGGTACTTGTGGTCTTACTTAACAACACTTTGATGATGAAATTCATGGCTTGTTCATAAACCTAGGCTTCACTCTACGGTTCACTATATTTAAAAGGGAGCTATCCACAAGATTCCAAAGGTGATATGTTGGCTAGAGAGATGTTGACGGACAGGAGAGAGGGGCTCTCCAGCAATCTGAATACTTTCCTCTTACCAGAGGCAGAGTATAGATAGTTTAAGTTGCTTCTGTTGGAGGTGGAGCTTTATAGGTATGGGAAATGGAGGTGGGGGGGTTAGATTATTAGGTTCTTGGATATAAGTCCTTTGCACATCAGTTCTTGCATAGGAGCTGAAGGCCCCTCCTATTTTTTTGTGGAGACCTAGACATGATCCAAATTCTAATGTTCCACAGGAAACTCAGGGTAGGAACATGAGTCACAGGAATTTCAGAAAGAAAGCTCTAAGACTGAGTCTAGAGCTGCAGTTTAGGGACATGGGTTCCAGGGTGATTCAAAGGTTTTATGTTATGTGAACTGATGCATGTATTGCCATGAAGAATTCTTCTGGGCCTTTTAGTGTGGTATATTAAACTTAGAAGTACATGTTATATGAAGGATAAGTGATTATTACAGTACCTTGAAAATGACCCAACTATGATTTTAGAAAAGGGCTCTAGGATCTTTGTGCTTTCCATAATTGTTTGCACTTTTAACCAAAATACAGAACATTTCTCAGATGGTCTACCAAGCTGCTTAAGGCCCTTTAAGGGTAATACCATAATCTATCAGGCTAGTTTGGGACTGTGGTAGATCTGAGAAGAGACAGAAGACTAGAACAGGCACCTTGAGGTGGTATTGGTTGGCATGGACTGTCTTGTGCTTTGAAATAAGAGAAGTATCTTGGTGCCTTCAGAAAAGGATGTTGTGAGCTATTAAATAAATAGACAATGGTAAGCTGTAGGAATGAACTAACAACATTCACTCGGGAATTGTCTTGGGAGAAGAATGCTATGTTCATCAATATTTGGAAATTTGCTTGTGGGTGACATCATTTCTAAAAGGAATCACTGTAACCTTTTTACAGACATAAACCCTGAATGCAAATGAACCTCTGGTGCAAATGACACCCTTAAGTGAGATGACGAAAATCTGCTATGGATAGAAAAACCAAGATAGCTGTGGGATAAACAAAGACATCTGTGTGGTGCATTGGAAAGAGTGCTAGATTTAGAATCAGGGGTCCTAACTTCGAATTCTGGTTTTGCCACTTAATAGCTATACATCTTTGGGTAAACTATTTGACCTCTTTAGGCTTAAGTTTCCTCAGTTGTAAAACGAGAGAATTATACTAGATAGACAGCTTCCAGCTTTAAAATCTAACATACTATGATCTTTAGGAAAATAAAATTTCTATATCAACCAAGGAATAGAAGTTTGATTGAAGGAGTAGAAGGGGACTGAATGGAAGAAAAAAAGAAGGAAGAAAGTAAAGAGGGATTTTGTTTTAAATATAAAAGAGCCATAGTTTGAGGGAAGATAATACTGCAAGTACAAGATGTAATGTCTATAGTCTTCTGGCTGTTTAGTCAAAATGCTGGTCCTAAATTCACTTAAATAGTACCTGGAACATACTGTCCCTATCGATCCTACTTCAGTCTCCTTCTCTGAATTTCTATTTCAATGGTAGGACTGGCTAGGATTCTGGCTTACAAAGATTAGACCAAGGAATGGGGAATCTCTGTGGATTTCATCCAGGTTTTGGAATGATATTGTTATGGTCATTGTAACTACAGTCCCAAGAATGGTTTTCTCCTTGATGTGCAGCTGTGGCTCTCCCATTTAGAATCATGGCAACTCAGAGTTGGAAGGGAACTTGCAGGTAATCTAGTACAATCCACAAATGAACAGCAATACCTTTGACAACATTCCAGTAAGTCATCATCCATCCATCCATCCTCCATTTGATGGGGAAACCCACTACCTTCTTGGGTGTCATGCTAATGTCATATGTACCCTGTGCCCTACATTATCCTGTGTAAAGATTTCTGATTAGTACCGTTGGATTTTAAATACACACATATATGTATGCACATCACATGTGCATGTATACACACATGTATATCCACACACATATATAATACCTATACAGCCACATGTGTACACACTCATGTCATTATATAACTCTACATCTACACATGTATATGTAAACATATGTGTATATATCTATACATCCACATATATGTATATATACATAGGTGTGCATATATCTATACATATACACATATAGATGTATACACGTAAAAGCTTAAAGATTAAAGAAATAGAAGCACTATGAACAGTAGTTAATAAACTAATCAACATTTCAAAGGCAGTAGATAATAGATAAAAAATATTCTTAAGTCTACAGTTTGAAGCAATAACAGAATGACCTCTAATGGCCCCTATTGTCCTTCTAACTCTGTCACTACCTGGGTGCAAGCTCTTAACACTTAACACCAAACACCTGTACTACTTCAATAGCCTTCTGGTTGGCAATCTCTGTCTGCCTCAAGTCTCTCCTCAGGCTAAGCCATCCTCCATCGTGGTGGTGGTAGTTGTCCTTCACTCTCAAAGAAGATCAAAATGGCATGGCTATAGTGGGGTCAAGGTATAGTGTGTCTGACTTTGGCTGATCAGATCAATACAGGCTAGGCAGCCTCTACCATAGGTTGGCCACAAGTAGTCCATATGAACATCTGGAGTAGAGAAGGCTCTAAATTTGCACATCTCACATTTCTTTTGAACTACTGCAATTCTGCTTTGCTCAAAGAGCACAGCACCTTCTTTGAGTCAGGCACACCATTCTAGGTGGTCCTGTGCCAATGTCTCCCACGTCTCACAATCAATTCCAAAGTTCTTCAGAGACGTTGAGAGTGTGTTCTCTTGCAATAAGAACTGTTGGTCTTCCAAGTCTACTGGATTTCTTGTTTTCTGTAAGCGTGCACACATTCCATGAACCGACAGTGAGTTAAATCATCTTTACAAATGTTTTTTGTAAAAAAAAAATGTTTTTGTACATTTTTTGGTGCTTCAACCACAGGGTAGGATGTCTACTTGTTATGGTAAGCAGGCTAGTGTTGGATGAAGCAGAGAATTTTTAGGGCACCTTTTGTAGCCAATTCCTCACACCAGGAGTTGAGCTGTATGACCTCTGTGCGGGTTACAGCTTCCTGGAGCCACAGGTAAGAACTGAGTGAATCAGATGGACACCAAAGCAGGAAAGCAGCCTGAAAAGAGCTCAGCAGCCCTCACACCAGAGGTACTAGGTTGCCCTGAATACCCTACACCAAGCCATACCCCACTCAGCTATCAAAGTGATCTTCCTAAAGCACTGGTCAACCTCCATATCAACCCCCACAGCTCCCCAACCCCCACCTCTGACCCACTCCCCCTATTCAATAAACTTTAGGAGTTCCCTATTACTTCCAGGATCAAATATATAATCCTCTGTTTGGTGTCCAAAGCCTTTCCTAATCTTCCCCCATTCCCTGCCTTTCCAGTCTTCTAATACATACCTCACCCCCATGTGTTCTATAATTCAGTGAGACCAGCCTCTTTGCTACTCCTTAAAGAAGACTCTCTTATCTTCCGATTCTGGGCAGTTGCTGTCCTCCATGCCTCGAACTCTCTCCCTCCTCACCTCTGCCTCCTGGCTTCCTTCAAGTCCCAGCAAAAATCCTAGCTTCTAAAGGAGGCCTTTCCGGATCCCCTTAATGCTGGTGCTTTCTCTCTGTTGACTATCTCTAATTTATCCTGCATAAATCTGGTTCATATGGGGTTTTTTTGCCTATTATCTTCCCCAGTGAATTATGAGACCCTTGAGGGCAGAGACTATTGTACCCATTTGGGGGAGAAGGATATTGCTAGTACTTAGCACAGTGAGCAGCACAGGATAAGTGCTTGATAAAAACTTGTTGACTTACACTTGGCTTGAGGATGCTATAGTATAGGCCTCAGGAAGGAGAAAGTGGAAATAATGTTGTTGAGAAATCAGAGGTGGGGAGAGATAGAGGAGACTATCAAATTCAATTCCACTAACATTTATTAAGCCATTATGGCAAAGACAAACTTTATACCATTTGTCTAAGGCCAAAAGAACTCCTACACCAGTGCTGTTATCTATCATTATAGCTAGAGCTGGGACTCAGAGACACTTCCTGACTATAGGTTAAGAAAGTGAAAATAGTATTAACAGTGGGTCTGCTGGACAGTCACTAGTATAACCAGGATTGAACTGGTTAATACATTTTTATAGTCGAAGTTCTTATTGGGCTAGCTAGACTTAACGACAGGTCCAACTCCATTCCAAACACAGGTCTACTAAAATATTTTTGTCCTAATTCCTTTGTTTTGCTAATAGAGCAGGCAGCTCTGAAATCCTATGATTTCTCTGAGCTTTGCTGATCTTAGCTCTTTATTGAGAAGTACCAAACATCATCAAAAGAACCATAGGTCTGGAATGGAATTTGAAGAAGTCCAATCTCACATTCAATCTCAAGAGGAGAACTGAAGTACACTAGGCCTCAGGAAAGGAAAATGAAGTGCTAGTTAGATGGGGGGTATTTTGCTACTCCTTCCCTGCAGTAATAATAGAAGTTGGAATAAGGAGTTGACTTCTGAACCATTGTTGTTATCTTTGGTACATTAGAAGTGCTGGGCTGAAAGCTGGAATGGAAAGATGCAACCTTCAAAGGTCAATGGTGTGCTAGAGCCAGTTCTAACAGGCTCCCCATTGTTAAATTTTCAGCTTGAACACTTACATCTCTGGAATCAGCAAATGCTACAAATCAGGGCTTGATTTATTGTTCCGTTGATTGTCTAGATTGAAGAACGTGATGGGGAAAATGTTAATACCATAGATTAAACTTACAAGTGTGTGCCTGTATAAGTGTGGAATTTTGGCAGGTAAAAAGTCAGGAAGTGGAATGAAAGAAGAATAAAACCGTGGAGCAGATGCATGTGATTTTTCCTCTGACAGTGATGTTTGGAGCTAGAGGATATTTCATAAACACTTGCCCAGATGTGCTTTCTCTTTTCCTAGGTTATTGCAGTCCTGTGACTGAGGCCTATTGTCCTGGTCCCTTGAAACATTGTTCCCTAAAAAAAAAAAAGTATAACCCAATCTCATTTCCTTTTTGTATGAATGATTGACAGATTAATAGAGGGATGAAAGATGAGAATTTTAAAATTAGAGCTAAATTTTCAAAAACTTGGCATATTTATTTTTGAACTAAAATTTCCCCACTGTAATCAATGCAAATATTTTTTGTATTTTTAAGAAAAAAAATCTGTATTCAATTTACTCAGATGAAATCTATGAAGACATGCTAAAGCCAACATTTAAAAGATTATTGAGTCTGCAAGATTAGTTCTGCTGGAAAAGTTGGGGGAGTGGTCTTCTCATAACAGAACTTGGGCAATCTTGAAAGGATAGGAGCAATCTTGGTAACAGTACTACTGGTTAAAATGCAGATAATTCTCTTAAATTGTTCTGATGGAAAATTTGAGGAGAATCATAAAAGTTCCCCAGGAATCTGGATTATATAATCTGGAAAGCAAATGGGTCATACTTTTCTTCCTCTTTGTGCATTCCCCTGTTCCCACTAAGACTGAACTAGAGTGGAGAGAGTGGCCAGCTGGGAGCGATTCTGTAAGACATTTTGTAGGAGTAGAAAAGACAGGATTCAGTGGACTCATCAGGAGCTAAGGAGAGAGAAAAGGCAAAGATAATTTCAAATTTTCAAGTCTGAGTGACTAAGAGAAAAGTGGTGCTATTAAAAGATATAAGAAAGTCAGGAAGAATAGGAGGTTTTAGGAGGAAGGTGATAAATTTGGTTTGGGACCTCTTCAGCCCCCCATAGTTCCCAAGGACACAAGGCTAGCCACGGTTTCCACACTATAAACCAAATAAAATTATGGTGCCCTATTACAGGTTCTTATTCCTCTGCCTAGATTATTGCAGTTACTTTCTAAGAGGTCTCATCTCTGTTCCCCTCTGACCCATCTTTTGTACTGCTCTTAGCACAACACTTTTTGTCTATAAATATAGGTCAAAATCTTCGATTGGCTCTCTGTTGATCACTGAGTCAAGTTCAAATTCTTCCCGTCTGGCACCACTATCCTATTTCTTGTGCCATCCTACATTGTTGCTACTGCAAAGGGAAGACAGTCACATGGCAATGGAGATAATTACTTCTGAACCCAAATTTGATTACTATTAAATGATTTTCAGATTCTGGATGGATTAAGAAACCTCATAATTGTACTTATTCATGTCCTCTCTCTATCCCCTGATCAAACACACACACACAGAGAAGCTCATTAATCCAGTTTCCATCAGTGGATTTGGGGATTGTTCAGAAGATGGTAGCTACAGAAAACAGAGAGACTGAATTTAGGAAAGGACCAGACTGCTACACATCACAATAGAAACCCTATTTAACACTGGTACAAGAAGAAAGGAGGAACACCTATTTCCAGTTATAGACTATGTTATATCAGGCTTTTGTTGCATGAGGGTTTTGCAGCCTGAAGGACCACAATCTGATCTGTGTTCTGTATGAATTCATATAATAGTAAGCTATGTTTTGCTGGAGTTTTGTTATACACAGAAATCAGAATTTTAAGGCTGGAACAGTCTTTGGAGATCATTAAGTCTCCTCACCTTACAGATGAGAAAATAGAGGGTCAGAAAGCAATTATGAAATGCCAATAATAATAATAATGTATATACAGGGTGTCCCAAAAGTCTGAATGCTGTTGTAAGGCTTACAACAGACTTTTGGGACATCCCGAATTTTGCTTTACAGTTTACAAAGTACCGTCCCACAACAATCCTGTAAGGTAGGTAGTATTAGCATTATTTTACAAAAAAAAGAAAACTAGCTCTCAGGGTAGTTCAGGGACTTGCTCAGCCCGGCTCCAGAAACAGTAAGTAGCCAAACTAGGATTTGAACCCAAATATCTTCTGACTTTAGTTTGTGGCAGAGATATGGTGTCCTTTCTCCTAGCCCAATCCTCTTTCCACTGTACCATGCTGCCTTGAGGATTGAAACAGAAACACTTCCAGCAACTCTGATTGCTTACGCTGAAGTACATTTCCTTAAGAAAGCTGATATTTGAGTAGAATGAATAGTTCCAAGATTCTTCAGGTAAATGAGCCAAGAATTTTTCTCAAATATTCCTGGCCAGGATATGCATGTGTCTGAGTGTAAGCATCATGGGGAGTGTAAACCCTCAATTGGGCTTTTAATTCTACTCCCCTTAAATGGTATTTAGGAAGGAAGAATTAAAATGCTCCTGGAAACCTTAGAATCACATTCAAAATAAGAACAGATATTTCTTTGATATGTCATTGTCAGCAATGAAAATGGGGGGGGGGGAATAGAGACATTTCTAGAAAGGACTAAAAAAAAGGTTATGGACTGTGAGTGTGAGTATTTGTGTGAGTAAAACAGAAAAACAGACAGCATGATTAAATGAAACAAAGAACCTCCCCCTCCCCACACACAAAACCACTAGTCTGGGAAACTAAGAAAGCAAAGCATTGTGGGTAATTAGAGAAAAGAGGCTTACTTCAGCAGTTTGATATTACACATTATCAGCTCCTTCCAGTTAACAAAAATCATAGCCACCTCTTTTTCTGTCAGCAGCTCAGACTCCATCAGCGGTTTCTGAAAGATCTACAGATGCAGAAAATGAAGCAGTTCAGTAAGCAAATGGTTAGCTTTTGGGGTGAGGGGAGCTGGTTTAGAGCAACCAAGAGTAATATCCCCAGTACCATCTCAGAGGCATAGAGCTTAAAGTCCTCACAGTCCTGAAGAGGTTATCTAATAAAGGACCCCTATGTCAGTTGGAAAACAAAACCAGTTTTGTAAGTGACTGTTAATTTGATTTTGTAGAGGATGGGCTATCCTTAATTCCAGATCAGTGCTAGCAGCAATGCCTTAGTCTATGATTAGAAAATTTGCCCACTGGAAAATTGTGAATTACAAAAATGAGGGGAGACTGCTTGCGTTCATCATCTCTAAGACTACCCAGTTTGCTTTTTTTTTTTTGGAGGCAATCAGGTTAAGTGACTTGCCCAGGGTCACATGGCTACTAAATATCTGAGGCCAGAGTTGAACTCAGGTCCTCCTGACTCCAGAGCCAGTGCTCTATCCACCTCACCACATAGCTGCCCCTAGTTTTCTCAATAGGGGAAGAAAATTTTCTAAGTGGGGAGGTGGAGTGTTCCTCAGACACCAAGCAACCTTCTCCCAAGCAGCCACCCAATTCACAACAAGCCAAACTTCATAGCTGATGTCAGAGAGCAATATTCACTGACTTTGGAATTGCTTGATCTGGTCCAAGAGGAGCCAGGAGGAATCAATTGTTCATTTGAGGGAATTGAGTGAACCACATTGACTCCATCTTGTGACTCAGTTCTGGAGCTGGCTCAGTTCCCTTTCTGTTCAATTATAGGCCTAGTTCAATTTCTGTCTTCTAAGGAAACTTTATTCAATTGTGGGAATTGTGAGAAAAATTTAATGCATTGTTTGAACCTAGTCCTTCATGGCTGGGAAACTGGACCAACTCTGCCTGTTGCCTAGAGCCCCTTAACTAAGGACCCCGGTTATGTTGACCAGAAACCCAGTCAGGTCCAAAGATTAATACAAGGAGTTTTCTCACAATTATACATCTCAAGAAACCCATATATCTTCTCTGAAAACTGGCCCTGAACTAGTCAATTAGTTATTATTTCCATATTCTTTCGATTGAATACACACATTTGGCAGGGAGTAGGACATCTCTTTTTCTGAATTCAAGGAATCTCATCTGTTCACTCCTTCCCTCCCAATTTCAAAAGCCCCTGATCTTTCCTCCAATCAGAAATAAGATTACCTAATTTTGTGTCTTAGTTAATTGTTTTCTTTTAATTAATTGGTCTTATTTGTTTTTGATACATAAAAATCTGTCTCTCTCTGTATTCGGGGTCCATTGCAAAAGCTGAGGAGGCCTGGTTCTGATTTGTGAAGCCAACTGGCATGCATTACTTAAATAAATTGATATGCTTGGCAGCTCGAACATTTGGTTTGCTCAGTCATTTCATCTTTCACCACTACATATTCTAACCATGCCTTCAACTGATGACTTATGCTACCCTAGAGGCTAGGGAGGACACCAGGAAGTAAAAGATCTCTTTCAGAGCATAGAATCACAATCTGAAGCTAGAAGGGACCTTAGAAGTCATCTAGTCCAACCCATTCATTTTACAGGTGAGGATACTAAGGCCTAGAAAGGTTAAGTCACTTCCTAGAGGATACACAGGGTCAGGATTTGAACTCAGGCCTTGTGACTCCAAGTTCAGCACTCTTTCCACACCATTATGCTATTTTCACTCCATGAGTTGAGCTAACTCATTCAAAGATCCAGCAGGGATGTCAATAGATCTAGCCCTCTGCCTGTACTCAATAGTTTTTGTAATTTGAATGTTATTTGAAATAGCTATTTGGAGGATTTTCAAACTCCAAGATTCCATACTCTCCCTCAGAAAGCTGTTCTCACATTTAATACGTGAATATGAATACATGAATATATAAAATAAAATCTGGTCTTAGACATCTCCAGTGAATACAATTCAAAATATACCCTCTTGCATCAAAAGGGTAGGGGTACCCACTCTATGAGCATGCTACTCCCAGCAGCACTACCCTCTTCTAGCCCAATGTCACCTAACCCACAACTTCCTATCTTGCAGTGACAGGAATTCCACATGTAGAATTCACAGATCTTACTTGGGGCTAATGTAGTGCTATATTGTTCAGACCACATGAAACATTTCTTCCTGAACCTGATATCACTCTGTAGTTAGTAAAGTCTGAGAGTCTGCTTAGCTTTGCACTATTCTCCAAAGAGGCAGCTACCCATGGACATGTGAAGTGAAGCTTCCCACAAAGCAAGGGCCAAAGAGCATTCTCTAGTGATCGCCTGCTTTGCAATGAGCTCCCACTCCTGGTACTTGGGAAATTCCTAGAAGAATAAATGAAATCAGTGTCATTTGGGAGATGAAGTATCTAGGAGGGAGTATCCTGAATCATGGTGACAGATTCTCATAGACAGATATACAGAATGTTGGAATTGTAGAGGACCTTAGAGATCATCCAATTAGTCAATCAATCAATATTCATTGCCTACTATGTTCCAGGCACTGTGCTAGGTAAATAGAAAAAAATGACAGTCTCTGTCCTCAAGATGCTTACACTCTTTTGACCAATCTCCCTATTTTGGCAGATGAGGAAAATGAGTCTCAGGCAGTGAACTGACTTGCCTAAAGTGTATTAGTGGTCAAATAGGACCTTGCATTATCATTGAAATCATCTGCAGTATTCAGTACCCTGGTGAGGGGGAAGAGGGGAGAGAACAGGAAAAAAGTACTTCACAAAGACTCCTCTGGGGATAGAAGAACCAAAGGGAGAGACAGAGAAGCTTAACTTGAGGGGAGAGAGTGACAGGATTTGGGGGCAGGTAACTCCAGTTGCTTGAAAAATTGGTCTAGGACTTTTGTGTTTTAATGTGCAAGAATGTGTAGAGGATTTAGAAATATTTGGCATCAGAAGAAACGATCAGTAGTGCCACTGGTACTCACATTTCTGAAACTCAAATTTCTATAGTATTTTAAGGTTGGCAAAATACTTTCCTCACAACAAGTGTGTGAGGTAGGTGGTTCAAGTATTATTATTCCCATTTTATAGAAAAGGAAGCTGAGACTCAGAGGAGATGTGATGTAGTTACACAGCTCCTAAGTGGCTAATTTAGGCAATGAAATCAGGTCTCTCCTGAATCCCAGTCTAACCGTCAATAGTTCACTATTGTCTCTCTCTTTTCTCTAAAATATACTAAAGAAAGCACAGGGAGAAATTTAGAGATATTTGATCTGGACTTATAAAAATACTAATTATCATCATTGGCACAAAGATATTTTATACCTAATTACTTCCCCTCCACTCCTCTCCCCCCAGACTGTGTGCTAGGCATTATTATGTAGCAGAACCACCTTGGCTTGGGATTATCCCAGAATGGCAACACATAGCTTAAGTGAGGGAGAGATAAGTCATTTGATCACAGTATTTGGTTAAAAAATAAATAAATAAATTATTAAATAGATGAGAGAGAAGAATTCCTAGGGAGAATTCAACTTTGACTATTCATCTTTTACCCTGGATGTAATCTCTTCTCACTTAAGTAGGGGACAATACTTCTAGAGCTCCCAAAGAACATTCTTACATAGCAAAGCAATCTGTGGGTCAAGCTGAGGCTATCTATGATGTCTGCCTTCGAATTTTCTAATAGACTTTTGATAGTGTAGGGCAAGGGTAGGGAACCTGCAGCCTCGAGGCCTCATGTGGCCTTCTAGGTCCTCAAGAGCAGCCCTTTGACTAATCCAAACTTCACAGCACAAAATTCAGTCAAAGGGCTGCACTTGAGGACCTGGAGGGCCACATGTGGCCTCGAGGCTCCAGGTTCCCCACCTCTGGTGCACAGTAGACAGGAGTTTGGAAGAAGTATTTCACACAAACTAGGAATTAAAGCTATCATTCAAAGGAGGCAGCACATGTTGTTTCAGCTTCATGTACTCTCTCATATACTCTCAATATACTCAGATCCATTGACTTTAAAGTGTCTACCACAGTTCTAAGTACTTGGAGGGGCAGAGGGAAAAGGTTTTTCTCATCTGCAAAATGAGAAGGTTGGACAAGATGATCTCAAAGGTTCTTTCCAGCTCTAACATGCTGTGATTTTATTCAAGAATTCAGATCTCTTCACCTGTATAACCTATGTCAAATTGCTTGCCTTCTCAATAAGGTGGGGAGAGGAGGGAGGAAGAGAGAGAATTTGGAGCTCAAAATCTGAAAAAAGAATGTTAAAATTGCTTTTACATGTAATTGGGTAAAAAATAAAATGTTAAATTAAAAAAATAATAATTCAGATCTTTTAATTTCCTGCCTGGTTCTCTGGGTACAATATTGTTTCCTGCTTTACAACTCTCTAAGAAAACATTTTGCCTCTTCCCTAGCAATAGACCTATGAGGTAAGGATGAGAATTGGTTCCTACTTTTCCCAGAGGATAGGTCTCATGTCATTTAGTATAGTCCTGGTGTCCTTTATACAATTGTTATTCCATCAAAAACTCACACACAGTAAAATACCTAGCCAAACAACTCTTAATCAGAGATCCCCATTTCACAATGTTACCACATTTCAGATGAAGCAACACCAAAATGTCACCCTCCCCATTGCTATTTTTACCTCTGTGACTAACTGCAGGTCATTGACATAGTTTTCTTCTGTAACAAGTAGCTCATGGATATATCCCTGCCGTTTCCTTTCTGTTGGTGTCAACATATCCAAAAGATGTAAATCTGCACACCCTGGAAAATACAATGGCATTGGACAGTTTATTCAGGGATGCTTAAAAGCCAAAGACCATCTGCCTAAAAGGTTACACCCCCCCATTGTTTATTACTCCTGAGTTAAGTTACTTTGATTTGTTCCCTCACCGTATTATCTCTTTAATGAAAACATTGAAAAGAAAGTTAAGTATCACCAAAAAATGACTACTCTGCAATTCTCTGGACCAGGGTTAGCAAACTGAAGACCAAACCCTGCTTTTGTATAGCCCCAGATAAGACTATTTTTCTTTTACATTTTAAAATACAATAAAACTTTATTTAAAAATGTAAAAATCATGGTTTATACTACAAAAGAAGGATTTGGTCACACAGGCTGCAGTTTGTCCATCCCTCCTCTGGGCTAATTCTTTGGGGTTCATGAAGGGTACAAAGTTCAATCCCTGGAAAATATACTTTGTACAGAAACACTGCTATTGAACTAAATATATCTGTAGATTCAGCCAAATCATCCCAGGTCTTCCTTAGGAGGGTAAGTCTTACGAGGTGATCTCAGGTTAACCTGGCCATCTTCTTCATATCTGGCATCCTCAGGTCTAACCTACCTCAGGGTGGTCTCAGAAGCTATTGGGGTTCCCACACTGTTAGGTTCCCACTAATTACTATGACTGTAAGATATTCATCAGGCTGTCACTAACCTGGGTGCTTTTGTTGGGAGGCTCAGCATTCCCTGAAAAAATATCAGATGATTTCTTTTATGTGAGACAGAACCTCAGGGCCAGAAGCCACCTCCAACTCAGAGCTTCCCTGGCATATTATTATACTTTCTATATGGGTTATTGTAGTGGCTGCTCCTGAACAGATATGCCCAAGGAGCTCTGACAGTTAAAATCTCTCTCCCCTCTAAGCTTGGAGAAAGTGTCATCTCCTCCATGAAATCTTCCTTGATTCTTCAAATTTCTTATTGCCCTTTGTGTCTCTCCCAATCACATTCTCCTAGAGATTTTACCCACTTGTGTACATTCCCCCTATCAAACTTTTTCTGAGGGTAAGAATTGTGATCCTTTCCATATTTGTAGCCCCAGGATCCAGCACAATGCCTTGCTCTTAGTAGGCACTTAATAAATGTGGTGATGAAGTCATTTAAATTCAATTTAAGGTAGTGGCAATAGCAGGAGGTGTGTGTACTTGGATAGCTACAGAAAGAACTGAGTAAAAGTATCAGGTGTCATTTTGAATTATCATCCCTTAAGGTCCATTTGGCTTGGGTACTTGGATAGCTATAAAAAAAAGAACTGAGTAAAAGTATCAGGTGTCATTTTGAATCCTCCTCCCTTAAAGTCTATTGGCTTATTTGCTTGAAAGCTGACTGTGATGTGCTAAAATTAAAATGAGAATGGTCACAAAAATCAGCGTAAGCCGTCCTGCAGGGCTGGGGACACAAACTTTGAGCTAGGACCCAGTGCTAAATCTTTCAGTTGGCTTCACTGCATCCCATAACAAGTACTGATGAGTACAGGGGATGGTGAATGTCTTTTATTAAAATTTTTGTGCTAACAATGAATTAGCAAGAAGAAAGTAAGCCATTATTACTCACTTAATTCTACGAGCTTTAGTTGACATAGCATGTACCCAAGAACAACTCAAGGTCTCTAACATTTTTTTTTGTACTTTATATCTCAATTTGTAAATGAATTAAAGTTTTAAAGAAAATTAATTTGTAACTCAGTTTGACTTGTATTTTTAAGGTGAAGTTTAGCTGCTATTTGAAAATTTAAGCTTGGGTAAATTTTAGTTTCTTTGGCTTGATGAATAAAAATAATCTTCCTTATGATTGAATATTTAATGTTTGCCTAAAAAAATAAAACTGCCTGTGAGCACACACTAATGATTTCATCTAACAGGCATGATATACATGCCTATATTATTTGGGCACCTACTGTGGACAAAGACATATCAAGCTGGCTGGTGTCACCAATTTTTCTAGACTTCTAACTAGTAGAACTGTTCTTAAATTCTTATTGAGGAAAAACAAATCCTACCTGACTAGATAGCCTATTAATGAAACATAAGGCTTAAGGGAAAGGCCATTATTTCTTTTCAAAGAGGAGTCTTGCATTATAGGAAACTATGAATTTTTAGAAGGGTGTGTTTTCTGAAAAAGTTTTCAGGATTTCTTGGTTTAGAAAGAAATATTAAAATGTCAATATATGGTGAGGTCTGAAAAGCAGCCATAGAGGTGGGATACATTAATGTGGAAATAGAATGTAGGAACTCACAAATGTGAAGCAATCATATTTGTCAGCTGTTTGATGGTGGAAGCAACTCGGCTCAGGGCTTGTCAGGGGAAGAAGTGAACAGAAGAGAGCCACAGGGTAAGATGGAAAATCAGACCTATTAGAGGCAGCTTGGCACTGAGGGTAAAGAGGTTGTCCTGAAACCTGAGTTCAAGTACTGCCAATGACAGTCACACTGGCTATTTGATTCTAGACAAGTTACTTAATCTGTCAAAACTCTAGGGAATTCTCCAGCAGAAAAAGATGCCAATCTACCCTGGCAGAGGGAGTTTCTTCACCTGGAATTTCACTATACCAAGGAAATCACAGGTTTTGTCCTGATCCCCATCCGAGAAAAGTTAATAGGAATTGTGAGACCAGCTTGGAGAAGAAAAGGGAAACAGCACCTTAATACTTAACTTTCAAGTTCCAAAAAAGACTCTTGTAATTTAATAAGCTTTTATTAAGCACCTATGGTGTGCCAAGTACTGTGCTAGGCACTGCATTTACAAAGACTAAAACAAAACAGTTCCTGCCCTCAAGGAGCTTACATTCTGCTGGAGGGAAAACATGTAAGTAGATAGGAAAATATAAAATATATTCAGGTAAATACAAAGTAATTTCAGGAAGTGGGAGGACCAAGAAAGGCCTTGTTTAGGAGGTGACATTTAAGAAGTTAAGATCCAAGACGCAGAGATGAGGAGAGACAATCCAAGCGAGAGAGGTGACGAAGACCTGAATCAAGATAGTGGCTAAGTGAAGAGAGAAAAGGGCAGATGCAAAAGATATTGCGGGGGTAGAATCAACAAGACCTGGCAATCGATTGTATCTGGAGTGTAAAGGAAAGTGAAGAGACAAGGATGGCTCTGAAGTTGTGAATCTGGATGATTAGAAAAATAATGGAGGCTTTAGCAAAAACAAGGAAACTAAAAAGACAGGTTTAAGGAGAAAGTTATTTCTATTTTCTCTGTGTTGGGTTTGATATGCTCCATGGAAAAAGTGATATGTAAAAATGATCTTTGGGAAACAAGTAGGAATCGGATAAGATAGAGAGGAGTAGAGACAGTTGCCTAGCATTCACATGGCACTTTAAAGTTTGCAAAGCACCTACATATTATCTCAATTGATGCAGCATTCCAAACCAAGATAATGGACTGAGCAAAAGTTTGCTCAGAGAAGTGAGTTCATGATGGATGAATTTGGTTAATAGGATCACAGACTTAGGATTGAAGGAGCCTCAAAGGTCACTTAGTCCTCTTCATTTTAGACCTCAGCTCTTCATTTTTTGGAGTTTTCTTGGCAAAGATACTGGAGTGGTCTGCCATTTCCTTTTCCAGCTTATCTTACAGATGAGAAAACTGAGGCAAACAGGGTCACATGACTTGCCTAGGGTCACACAACTAATAAGTATCTGAGATTGGATTTGAACTCAGGAAAATGAGTCTTCCTGACTCCAGGCTTGGCACTCTATTCTCTGGGCCATCTAGCTGCCTTCATTTTACAGATAAGAAAACTGAGGCATAGTAGGGTTGCACAGGCAATTTTGATATGCAGAACCCCTGACTAGAAATGCACGGTCCTTTCCATTTTACCTCCTCTGAATCCACTTTTTGCACTGGAATTATCAAGTATGTCAAGACATATTCTGATTTGGTTGAAAGGGCCTTATCAAATTTCTCACAGAATTTCTCCAGACCTCTGCTTCCTCTGAAGCACTGAAAGTGCCTAAGCTACAATTATCTTTTATGTGATCTTTTGCTATTTACTGACATTTACCATCAGAATTTTCTTCATCATTTTGATCAGTGTAAAGAAATCACAAGACCTAAACTGGTTTGACTAGCAAACATCTGTTAGGCTCGCCAATCCAGTCAAATCCAACATTTAGGAGTACCTACTATGTGCACAGCACTATGCTAGGCATTATGGTACAAAGATGAAAAAAACAAAATAAAACCATTCCCTACCCTCAACGAATGCGCACATACTAACCAATGGCAACACCAGGTTAGAAAAGTAATTCAACTGCAAAATTCTACAGCAGAGGACAGTGGGAGAGTACCAGGGATTTGTGATTGTTTCACAAAACAATGAAGAGTCTTAGGAAAAAAAAAAAGAGTACAGCAAGTTTGGCATAAGATCTAATTAAACCAGATTATCCTAAGAGCACTCATAGACTGGCTCTAGAGTCAGAGGTCCTGGGTTCAAATTTCAGCTCTGATACTTACTATCTGTGTGACCTTTGGAAGTTATTTAACTTCAATTTTCTCATCTTTGAAATGAAGGAGTTATATTAGATGTCCTTGGAAGTCTCTTCATATGGCAAAACAAATAAATGAAAAAATGGAACACCTCTGTCAGCATTCCTATAATAAACTTTTTATCATTTATGACAGTGGAACCACCACATTTGAATTAACACCTCAGAAGCCCCTGAGATGGAGGTGAAAATGATGCTCAAGAATGCCAATGCGAAGAACAGCTTGGACCAGACCAAGTACACACAGAAGAAATCCATATTGGCTGCACTGCAATTTTTAAAGCATCAAGGGATTGACTTACAAGATAAATAAGAGGAAGTAAAACCCAACAACTGGGGGAAGCAGGGAGTCATAGGTTATTATCCCCAAAAAGCTGATCAAGAGAACATTATAATTACTGACATAGATCCTCTTTCATTTCTATGAAAATTTTTATGTGAATGATCAATTTTAAAGGCATTTTTGATGAATATATAAAAAAGGA